ATCCAGCCCCGGATCCGAGTCCGCGCAAATCTCGATCTGCTGGATCCCGATATCATCTGTGTTTTGTCGGCAGGCTTTCTGTCCCTAGCCCGGAAGTTCCGACTCCGGGGGTAGTCATCACCACCACCACCACTCCATTGTTAATATCTCGCGACAACTTTGTGAAAACAATGCACCAAAATAGATGGTGGCAGCAGCAAAAGAATGGACACTGTGGGAATTGAACCCACGACCTTTCACAGAGCGCATCTGATCCTCTGTGGAGAACTCAGAAGATGCGAAGCGAAAATCATACCCCTAGACCAAGCGCCCGTCATTGGATGCTAGAAACGCCTCAACTCTAACATATATTGGTATTGATGCAAGGCTGGGAAACTTCCGTGGGGCTGATGTAACCGGACTCGGCTGCCATCGGCAACCTTCTATTCCTACGGCTGCCTGGACGGCATGAAGCCAGTCATCAAGGAGACTGAGAGCAGAAAGGGCGAAGTGGAATCTACGAGGAGAATACCCAGGAATTGATGTCGCAGTAGTCACCGCTTACTTTACTCCACTTTCTTGTATGTTATAGCTAATCTACCAGTAGCGAGTACAACTGTCTCAATGCCAGGCATCGCAAGCCATTGCCAAAAAAGGCCCGCTATCTCACCTTTCAACTAGGTAGCCCGCAATAGCTTCTTTTCATCCTCACACCAGACAGACACATGCAATGGCCAAGCGAAGGCAGACTTTTCATTCAGAATGAAATACAGATGGATAACCTGGTCGTCGTGGACTTCAGTCTACCACAGACAAAGATGCCCACCCACCCTGACCGCGGTATCCGAGTTGCTGCTATACCATGCATCCACTTCGATAACCCAATTGTTGGTCGAACCGACCCCAGCCCTCCAAGGTCTGCAAATGAAATGAGGAGATGGCCTAACGATCCATGGCGAGGAGTCAAGGTGGGATTTAAGGTGAGAATTATAATAGGACTTAAGATAAGAGTCGAGATAAGAGTCAAGATAAGAGTCCAGATGAGAGTCGAGGCGAGAGACCGCCAGTTTAACCTTACTTCTGGTGAACTCAGACAAGACCTAAATCATAAGCAGGAGGATACCAACATGGATTTAGACAGTAACACCTTTCCGTCTTAGCACCGAATATATCGTCAACGTCATAAACCAGGCCGCCAGTGTTCTTTACCAAAAGCTAGCCATGGTTGACGAAGTGCTACCGACCTTTGATAGAGCGCTTTAGCAAAGAATCAGGAAGAAGTTTCTACGAAGGATTGCAACCAGTCGACAAGGCAGGAGGTGCAAGACGAGTGCGTATATTAGCGCACGTATCTATAAAGCTGCGCGCCGGAATATGCTTGAGTGCAAGTATCATGAACTGACTCATTTCTTCTATCATGGGCCCCCGTCCTCCCCAATAAGCTCAGGGAAGCCAGCTTTGTCAAAGTTGAGATCGCTGGTAGGCAGCTTGTACCTAGCTCTGATATAGGCCCAGTACTGGTTCAGGACCACGTCTTTAATCTTCTGCGTTATTCATGTTGGAGTGTCTGGAATCCGGAGGCAGTCCTATCTAACTCCTCCAACTCTGCGAGAATGTTTTGAGACTTCATCGACCGCCCTGATGGCGTCCTTAAGCGTTCAATTTCCTGACGCTGGGATATTAATCCCCGCCTGATTGCGACTCGTCCCAGTTTGATACATGTTGATCAACTCCCATTTCAGGAAATACTACCGATTCAACCCCCCGGAACAAGCTGCTTTCTACACGTATATCATTCTGGCTTGTCAGACTGTTTGTTTCCGACAGAAGTCTACCGAAATGCGCACGACCGATTATGCCGGTGGGGACGTTTCCTCCCAAAATTTGCCTCAAGGAGTTAGTCAGGTGAGGATATCTAGGTAACCAAATCCCTTCCGCAACTCTTGGCCGTAACATGTTGTAGATAGTTGCATCATCCCGGCAGTATGTTCGTCGGTTGTTTGGGCGAAACCTGGGGATCGCAACATTTCTGTCTTCAAGGAGCGGTGTCTGAGGATTCGCTACACAGCGTCTCTGCGCCCTGAGTGCCGACACGCAGCGCAAGTCTTATTGCAATATTTGGCTCAGAAGCTAACTTAGCCACGGTGAAGCACGCCCACTTGCCGGGATCCGAGTCTGGGTCAATTAAAAGGTAAACGTTGGGTTGGAGCCGGCGATGCGAAGGTGGTTCCGGCGGCAAACTTTTCCAATCAAGAAAAGTCCTACGGATCATTGACAAGCGGTCGAGGGATCTCCATCGGTGGCGACTCGTTCAAACGGCTAGCGTTGAATGGACGGTCCGATCATGAAACAAGAAATCAAAATCAGATTGCCTGGCCCGATATTGCATTGCTCCCCTTCAATGTGCGAGGGCTGTTCCAGTTGAGCTCGGCCACCGTCAGGAGGACTGTGTTTCTTGGAGAATAACCGAATGATGGAATTTTGATTGTTTTGTGCTAGAGTAACGTGGAAGAACCGTCCTTGCATATGCTCCTCTTCATAATTGACGGCTGTGCCGAGGTTCTTTATGGTGTCGAGAATGCTTGGCCGGCCGTGCACCGACTGATACAAGCCGTTGGACACCTGTCTCCTCAATATTGAATCATATGCTTTATATCATCGCGGAAAAGAAGTACCGGTGGACCGAGGGAGACAACCAGTTGCCCACGAGCATCCATCCACGTGCCGATTCTATCTTCTTATGATAATCTTGATTTCCCCTCGAGAGCCTCCATCATTCGTTTCGCGCTGTCAGGGTTGTCAGGGAAATCACAGTTTACGCAATCTTCGCAGACCAGTGGGAAGACTTGACTTGACGTTGCTCGCCCCTTTGGCGTTCATTTCAACACGCCTCTAGAGTCTTGGTTAGTGACGATGGTCACCGGGAGCTTAGCGGCTAGACTCTGTTTTTCTGCGATTTAGCCCCATAGCAAGAAAAGATTCAAACTTTGCCGGCTGCTTGTCTTGGTATCTCGTCGCGAATCCGCGCGTTGCTAATAACTTGGGGAACGTCGAGAGAATAATATGGGCAACAAAGTTTAGACGAAAGCTTACCATCCCCCAAAGAATGCCCAGACCTTCCCCCTCCTGCCCCCTACTCGTTGAAACCGGAGTTGAAGGCTTTTATAGCACCATGTCAAGTACCGTGAAAGGGTTCCAGCTATTAATGCGCTATGGGTTTGGATGGCATATCAACAGTCCATCCGGTCGGGGAGCTTGACTGGTATTTCTAGGTTTGTGACTATTGATGAGGCAGCATCTAATTACCCATAGCTTGTGAAATTGAGCTTTCTTCGCACAAATATATACAGTGCCAGTGAGTGTCAACAGAACAGACGAGCAAAAGCTAGAAGTAAAAATCGGCGTGGGCATTCATAAAAGAATTCCGGTGTGAGATCTGAGAGGATTAATGAATAAGTACGTGTTAAGTGACCAGGCTGAGCGAATTGTGAAGTTGAAGCGAATGCAAGCCAGAGTTGAAATGCGATAAAATCGCATTTGCTTCAACGACAGGATCGTAGCAGGTTGTCAGGAAAGCCCCACAGTTTCTAAGAGCCAGTGTTGCCTTCAGCCTCAAACAGATTTCATGCATTGATAGTCCTTTGAGAGGGCGGCACAGGTGATATTGCATCCGACCGGCCTTTGATCTACATCCCGTTTGCCGAGAATAAAGTTTGTTGATAGCCAAGACGTTTGATCTTCCATGCCCGGTGGAAACAATCTCGGACCATGGGGGAAATGAGCCCAGCAATGAGATGAGAGAATGCCCGATTAATTAATCTAAAGCTTCTTTCCGGCAATGTGGGATATTTGATAGCGGGCTGGGTGCAGGAGTGTCCAAGCATGCGACACGTAACATATATCAGGCCAGTTCACCCATCTTGACCCAAGGACGCCAGTGGGAGGGCTGACTGCTAACTTGTTCAGAGGTCAGGCGGTTGCAAATGACCAGGGTTCAGAATGCCAGACCTTCGCCCTTCAACTTGGTATTCAGGTATTGGCGGCCATCTGACAACGCAGCCACTATCGTGAGTGCCGTAACAGAGTGAAGTGTACCGCAAGTCCATCCGGCTCAGTGTGGCATTTTGCAGTTTTCTGGCTCTCACTAGACATGAGATTATGCGAGGTGAAGGGGTGAAGGACGCTTTACGCATTGCGATTGGCCCCTTCGCGACTCCGCCTCTGTGGAACGTTTCGTCGGAATAATGGCCGGCGAGCGCATTCAAGCGTTTCAGTTTTAGTATTATCTAAACCATACCAGCCCAATAGCTAGACCATCGGGTAGTTAGGACCTAATCCCATTACAGATACTATAAGAGGAACTGAGTTCCGACTGGGCCAGCCTGATTGGTTCCCCCTACGTCTTAATTACGGTCCCATTGGTGAGCTTATTCCAATCGTCTTGTTCTCATCACTGCATGTCTAACGGCGACCGCACGGGAGCTTCATGACTCCTTCCTGCAGATGGCACGGGATTGACCCCCCAAAGTATACATGCCACCTTGACCGCATGAGGGCCCTGAAATAGGGCTCCTTTGGGACGATTTGACACTCTTGCGTCCTTTGGTTGACCCGTAATGCCGGTCCGGGGCGTCAGACGTTACTTGATTAGGATGTGCTGAGAACTCGTCCGACTTGTGGTTGCGCGCAGCGGCGTGAGATAAACACCAACATGGCATTTTGTGTCACATCGCTTGGAAAGGCAACCCCAAGGAGAAAAGTAGTTGTTGACCACACACACTCTCTCTGGGCAGGGCTTTTACCGCCCCGGTATGCCCCAAAAGGAGAACTCTGGGGGGAACACAGACAATGAATAGGATTGCCCGGTTCACTTGGGATATTGATAAAAACGAGCTGAAGCGCCATACCACGGCCTTCGACTCGTTCTCCACTATCAAGTCTCGTCTCCTTCGTGTCAATAATCATCCAAGTCAACAATTTCCCTCCGTTTACTGTATTTGTAAACACCGACATCGAAAATGCTCGGATCAAAGGTTCTTGCTGCCGCTCTGCATGTCTTGGCGATCACGGCTGGGCCGGTCCTCGTAGCACGCCAGAAGGACGTCATTACCGGCGCCATCAGCATGGTACAGGGCTCACTACAAAATCTCGACACGGCCATCAAACAGCTGTCGGCGAGCGACCCAAACACCGCCGTCGGCGTCCTCAACGCGGCACAGGGCGCGCAGACAACCCTCCAGGTAGCAGCTACCCAGATCTCGGGCGCCGACGACCTGGGCTTGGTCGGCGCCCTCGGTCTCCAGCAGACGGCCGGCGACCTCGTTACACAAGTCGAAACCACCCTCGGCGACCTCGAGCAGAAGAAGCCCGTATTCGACCAGCTCGGCGTCTCCTCCGTGGTCGCCGACTCCCTCGAGCAGCAGAAGGCGGGCAGCGGCCAGCTCGGCGAGATGCTCCTGAGCAAGATCCCAGCAATTGCCCGCCCCATAGCAAAGAAGAGCACCGGTCAGCTCGATACCGCTATTGATAGTGCCATCGCGACGTTTAAGATGCCCCCAGCTGCCATGCCTGCCACCCCGGCAGTGCCCGCAGTTCCCGCTGCTCCAGCTGCTCCAGCAGTTCCCGCTGCTCCAGCTGCTCCAGCAGTTCCCGCTGCTCCAGCGGCTCCAGCAGTTCCCGCTGTTCCAGCGGCTCCTGCAGCTCCCGCAGCTCCCATCGCAGCGCCTGCAGCTCCCGCAGCTCCCGCAGCTCCCGCAGCTCCCATCATGGCGCCTGCATCTCCCATCATGGCGCCTGCACCTCCCATCATGGCGCCTGCAGCTCCCGCAGCTCCCGCAGCTCCCGCAGCTCCCATCGTGGCGCCTGCGGCCTCCAAGCGAGCAGCTTCCCCTGCAGCGCCAGCCGGCGGCGCTGCCGCAATTGGCGCGGCAGCAGTATGATTGGAGAGAAATAACGGCGGTGGAGAGACTGGGGCGGGAATGAAAATGTCAACAGGGCTGGGAGATTGGCGAAGTGGCAGATGGAAAGATTTGAATTTCCGAATCATGGCTGGGAGAAGGGAATGGAGTAATCGAATCAAAATGCTTTGGGTTCGCGCGAGTTTCATGCAAGGACTGCAGCCTCTCAAAAATGTAATGTTGTATGAGTACATGAACTGTCTACGTTCACAGAAACTATTTCCTATTGGAGCCATTTACAGCGTATGAGCGTCCCATCAAATTGTGATATAAATGCGGGGAAAATCTTTAACAAGATCGCGTTTACCATGGTATTCGAATATCTGATCTCGGTGAGAATACTTCTTCCTACAGTCAACTATAAGAGCTCAAATGTGAAGGTACCCAGGGTGGAGACTGGTGGTGGTGCAGATGTATGAATCGGTTTTATTGGACTGACCATTGACAGATCCTTCATACTTTGCCTAATCAAATGTTTACCGGTAGGAAGTGATCGTTAGTTGTCCCCAGATATCTTGATCCAAAGTTTCTTAAGCCAAGGCGATGGTGTCTGAGATATTGCAGACGTCTGTTACCCACCCGCCAGGGACGAATACAACCGGCGAACCTAACTTAGAGTTTGCTCGGCAAGCTACCCAGGGGTGAAAGTCTAAATCAGCCAGATGCAACGCAAATGAGTCTAAATCAAAGAAGGTGTATAATAAGCTCAAGCTCGGGCCCAGGCGAAACACCAGGGTCATTAACAGCCAATAGCAGCAGTGCCGTCGATCCGAAGAAGATGCAGCATAATTATCTAATCATCTTTGCCACCGAGACAGAGCACAGGGTGGTGCCAACTTGGAAGCTTCTGGGATCGTAATTTCTACCACCGACTTTCGCATCGTGCTACCATGCTTCAGCGGTTCTCGGACATACCTATTAGGGAAATACTACCCTTGGATCTCCTCGGTGCTTACACAAGCGATTCTTTTCTTGCTCCTTTAGTCCACATACATGAGTAACTTCGTAGTGACATCTGACTGACGGCTTGGCTTACAGAGCTGGAAGTTCTTCATAACAAGAGTTAATTCTGATCGTATCAGATCGATTCAGAGAGCCAAGTAGAGCAAGACTATAATAATGGCACATCCTTACTCGGCTCTGATGTTGCTCACTTCTAGCATGCAATTTGAGCTTGTGGGTGTTTGATAAATCTATGAGGAAAAAAACATCTGAATCATTCAACTATCCACATTCGGCATTAGGGACCATTATCTGTTAACACGGGAGAGTGCTGGATGAACGCCTTCAAGACCGAATAATGGTCATAGCTTCGTGAACTAGTTCCCCGGTCATAACATAGCATGCAAAGTGTCGTATGCAAATGTCTCTAACGATTATCAATGGTTTCATAGCGGGAGCAACCAATGAAATCGTACAATACTGTCTGACGATCAGTAACACATACACGGCGCGTGTACTGAGGACTTTTTATGTTCGAGTATGACCAGTTTGCCGCCACAAATCTGTTACCATTACCACTGAACTCAATGATATAGCACCTTGTAGCCCCTATGGCATGCCCCAAACTTCACATGAGGGAAATAGATAGGAAGATACAGTTGCATAGAATATTATAGTAGGTATGGCGAAGCTTTTGTGTCATCCAGGTGACATCAGCAACAATCGTAGCACGGCAATAATGGGTCCACATTACGTCACCGTACCTACTTGAGATTGCCTGGTCCACATACTCCAGCGAACATGAGTCAGTTCTTCAACGACGATATAGGAATGATAATCATTCTTCCAGTCATAGCATAATAACAGATTCAAAGGTGGTTTAGAACTCCGAAGGCCAGGTTGGCGTCGTCGACTTATTTTAATCCAGGTTGAGTTTAGACGACAGATAGCCCATCTCCTGTTGTATCTGTTCAAAAGCAGAGGAACTGTGACATTTGCGGTGACCAGGAGCATACCATGACTTTCTTTCTTTCGCTTGCCTTTCTTCTTGCCGTAGTACGGTGACATGCCGTTGTTCCGAAATCCAAATGGATGGACTGAAGTACGTATCCAAGGGGGTCCATATTAAGGTCCCAGAAGATAATGATACTCGTAACACAACCGGTAAAACACAGTATAAATATGATGCCCGATATTTTATATAATAGAAAATCTCTAGAAGAAATGAAATACTACGGAGGTATCAGGCATTTAACCGCCATGTCGAAATAATTGATCTTACCCATAGAGTTTAGCTTTTGAGACAATGAGGTGCTATAAACCTGACGCTGGCTGGTCTATGTGTAACTACCTCATTCAACCATCTCACCATCTATCAATAATCTAGCTCGACGATACAAGCATTGTCATGCAATGGGCAACACAGGCAGTGCAAAATTTAGGGGTAAGGGTAGAAAGTGCAAGGACCATAGAACAACACATTAATAGCGCTACATCCCTTCGAAAGGGGCCAGCTGCAAGGAACGTGCCCCTGTGTCTGCGATATTTTCAATCTATGTCGGCTTGCTGCTTCTTGTTTCTTTGTCTCATGATCGACAGGCTTGTTTTCCCCAGCTTACAAAAGGGGCAGTGAACGTCGGAACCAAACAACCGCTCGCTCCGCCTAGCCATGGTCAATATCATAATCCTGGCCACATGATGCCCATGTGTCTCCACCTTTGCCATGTTACACCAATGGCTTTTCCTGCTAGCAAGCGGACGGAGCGGACGGAGCGGACGTCCGGACAGAATGAACCGGGAACTGGTGGACATGACCCTTGACTCAGTTGTCATCGAAAATCCTGTTAATCCCCCAGCTACATGGAATCCCCGTCGTCGTGCGACCTTACTCTCCGTCATTGCACATGGTCTAAGCTTTAGAGGCAATGGGTAGACCGACAAGAAAGGACGATCGTGGTTCGTCTTGTCTTTCCGAGCGGGACTCCCGCTGCTATTGTAATCAAGCGCGCGGTACGGAATTCCCCTCTTCGATCTTTGGCAGGCATGCGTGACAAAAGATTATTGCAAACCAAGGACGCGAGATTGAGGGATTACCCTGGATGACTGTACCGACTTTCAGCGAACGGCTGCAAGTGCATAGCATTCTGTTTCTTAGATTAATATATAAGAAGGGGTCGATGACGCGGGTTTGCAAAGTTTCTTCAACCCGATTGCCTCGTCGGTAGCCTTACTACGATCGTTTTTGGTTTCGCCCACTCAAGTCTGTCATCATGGTTCGCACTCTCTTTACCCTTGCCCTTCTCGGCACCCGAGCTTTGATCGGTGCCGCTGCCGAGATCGAGACCCGGACAATCGACGAGATCTACCAGGCTGCTCTTGCCGAAGGCGGCATCGTCACTCTGTTACAGGGCGGCGATGAGACAACCCAAGCCGACGGCCTGAAGACCAACTTCGAGAAAAGATTTCCTGGCATGACTCTGAACGTGACCGTCGATGTTTCCAAGTACCACGACGGCAGAATAGACGATCAGATCGCAGCCAACAACGTCTACGTCGACAGCACCATCCTCCAAACGCTCCATGACTTCCCTCGTTGGGCTTCTGAGGGTGCTCTTCTGGACTACGCCCCTCTGGGCTACGACAAAATCCTCCCCGAGTTCAAGAACAACGAGACCGCTGCGTACTACGGCCTCTTCATCATCTCATGGGGCGGCCAATGGCACTCTGGAAAACTGCCCAACATCACGGCCCCAGTGGAGTGGGAGGACTGGGTCAACCCTAACCTCAAGGACAAGCTTGTCCTGACCTACCCCAACGACGACGATGCGGTCCTCTTTGCCTTTAATCAAATGTAAGTTGCACAACTTGCGTAGACCATGTTCGGTGATGACTAATGGTCCAAAATAGTCTGAAGCAGTACGGCCCAGCCTGGTTTGACAAGCTCCTCGCCCTGAACCCTCGTTGGGTCCGTGGCACCCAAACCCCAAGCACTATCTTCAAGAAGAACGATACCCAATGGGCTGCCACTTTCACCGCTTCCGGTAATCTGAACCCGGTTTCCCCGATCAAGTCGTCCTTCCCCGTCAAGGGTCAGTTCGTGTCGTGGCCCCAAACTGGCGGTATCCTCAAGAACGCACCACACCCCGAGGGTGCCAAACTTCTGCACTCCTACATACTCAGCACCGAGTTCCAGAACATCCGCGGAGGATGGAGTGTCCGTAGCGACGTCCCTCCCCCGCCGAACTACCCTCCCATCTTGGAGATGCCCGGTACTGACCCTACCGCCTTTGGCAAGTGGATGTCGGACCGTGCGGCTGTTGAGAGACTTCGCTTCTGGTTTGAGGACCGGATTGGCACCGCTCAGGGCCTTAGCCCCCTCATTGATGATCTTTGAGTGACAAGTTGTGAAAATGAGCACGGGAGACCTCTTCCATTCTTGATATATAGCCTTATATGAGAAGACATAATTTGTTGGCTTCTCGGGTAAATAAATATTTTGAAGAAGCATGTAAGACCATCTGAAAGCAGCCAGATAACCGCATGTATGAGTGGAAAGTATCGCGCTGCGAGGTACTAAGCGGCGAAACAAAACTATTTACTAAAGAACCTACTATGGCCTCGCGTCAAAGGTCAGGAGATGTAGATCTTTTGGGCCCATTTAGGCGCAGTATAGTCGGTAGAATTTTGCAGAGTCAATTTGACACGCCGTCCTGGGAGCTAATCTCTTGTATCCGGCAAGCGGAAGAGTCAAGGCATCCTCTGTTTGGTTCCGTCAAGCAATCGAGACACGCTGTCACTTTCAGCTAGGGACTTTTTGGTGCTTGTTGCTATGAGGAGAGTTGGCTCTGTAGAATCTTCGATCGAGCCCTCAGGCCGGAATGAACGAATTGACTCAGTCGAACTTCGGTTTGCTAGTATAATGATCATCAGCCAGACTGATGATATCCTGCAAAGAAATATAAGCAGATTTTGAATTGACTCCACAAGTCAATTTCGAAAAAAGCATTCCAAGTACGTAGGCAGGCCTCTCAGGTCCTACGGGGTTCCATTTGACCGACAAGCTCGGCAACACGCGCCTGAATCCGCCGTACGCGCGATTCTATCGCTACTATCAGTCAGTATGTGGATAACTTGTCTGCGAATTCCAAAAAAAAAGTACTCACTTTCCTCACCATCACTATCGAAAGTCTTGCTATACCCGGCACTGTCCTTCTCCTCTTTCCGATCCTCCTGCGGCGGCTGAGCTGCACGTTCAGCGGCGTTCCGGCGGATTTGATTCCAACGATCGTAAGAATTGGGTGGGTTTGGTTTTGAGCTGAAGACATTGTTTCTTTCTTTGCTGTTCTCATTCTGGCACGTCTCTGATACAACCCCGGCATCCGAGTCGTCTGCACTTTGTATGGTCAGACTTTCGAACCGCGCTTCGGCGTCATCAGACACAGTCTCAGCATATGTCGTTAACTCGTCGAGGTAACGTGATAGCATGAAGAAGCGAGGGCTTCCTGGGAGCTTCGATTGTAGATCCGCAATCGCTTCGAGAATTCTGGCCGTGCCTTCTACAATGTCCTTGGAGTCTTTGACCAGAACGTCCGTGTTTTGCTTCACCGCAATAGCCTCCTGTTGGACATCACGGAGAGTGGTTCTGAGATAGCAGTCAGTTCCATGATAGCCGAACACAACTTGAGACTACTTACAGAGAGAGCATCTCCAAGGCCAGGTTTAGTGTTGTCTTGTGTGCTTCCAGAGTGGCTCGCAGCCTAGCCATATCTCCCCTACCAAAGGCAACCCAGCGAGCTCCTTTTTGGATCCGGGAACCTTGATGAGTTTGAACACAGCCTTCTACCTCTGCGACTACGTTCTTACAGTTAGAAAGAACGCCGGATATCTGCGTCAGCAGGCCATCAGGAGGCGGTCGTGGTGCGTTTTCGAAATCATCGGCTATGAGCTCAGGAACGCTCTTCAATGACAACAACTCTCGACTAACGGCATCTATTTCGCTTCTTGCGTCTCTAACATCGCAGACAAACGTTGTAAGGTTAAAGGCCATTGTAGTGATGGTGCCCGCCAGACCTACGCAGGCGGTCGCGATTGAGCTTTGTGTCCAAATCATCAGTCACTGCTTTGTATTATACTTTGATTTGAATATTGGAGTCATACGGAATAGCACAAGACGTACAGGGGGTCCATTCTAGCAGCAAGCTCGTGCAGAATGCTATCAAAGCTGTGATATCATATGTAAATACTGAGTCCGAAAAAGGCGCGGCTGAAAGTGTGACACATTGAGGGGTTGCATTTAGCGTCCAGACGCGATTTGATGAGCTAATCCAGAAAAGCCGAGACCTCGACCATTCTTATTGGCGAATAGGTCATTATATTACTCATTCTTGAGTGGCTGGAACAAATGTATGTGGATGGGCGCAGCTGAAGCAGCGCAGCAAAGTACATGGTAAGTACGAGAACAACAATAGGAAAAAGAGATGCGGAAGTAGCACAGGGGTCCAGAAACACGTAGAGAATACTTCATCGTTCAAATAGTTCTTATTAGTCACCCTCTGCTATATTACACACCAGCTCTGGTGTGACGAGATGCGGAAGCCTCACTTCCATGACTGCCACCGGGCTAAGGCCTCAAACCCTTGCGATACGACAGCCCAGGTGAACAGAGCACAGCAGACCAAATGTCGACGATGTGTAGTAAAACTCCATAAGAATTTCAAAATACAAGTGGGACACATCGTCAGACGTCTACCAAAGTTTTATGGTCTAGTACGCCATGTCGACTTGACGGAAGACGCAGGCGACAGGTAGCCTGTGTGAACTAGAAGCTCGACGGTTAACGGAGACTGTAAACACGGACGGCACGATCCAACTGAAGGGTCATAAAGGTATGCTTGAACAAGCTGAAATCAAGGGCCATTCCCGTCCTCGTTCGCCAGGACAACGATTGACTCAAGATCTTTGTATACGTGAGCATGACGCCGTTCTAGCTATGGTAGGGAGCCTCAATTCGTACACCAGCCGTTTGGATTGCACTGAAATACAGACACAGATACTGCTGACTTCGATCTTACTCTTGGTCAAGTGAGATTTGCCGGGAGCCATCAGCTCGAGGGCGGAGGATACGGTCAACGTTACCATGCGACGATGAGCTGTCTCACAGCAAAATAGGTCAGAGTCATCTCGCAGGGCTTGCGCTATGATCACTGAGCTAACAAATATCATTGATCAAATTTCGGCAAAGATCAAAAATTATAGACAACAATCTTCCTGCGGCAACGCATCATGCCCGTCAAAACGCCAAGGGGCCTGGAGCCCCAATCCAAAATGAAAAATAGAGGGACCAGCCATACCTGCCGAAGAGCCTTGACGATGCTGTCGTGAACGCCAAAGATGTTAAAAGGCTAACCAGAAGCCGAGCTGATCGGGCGATCAAGTACTTCTTAGAGATGGAAACTATCCATACCGCAGTCACGGACATGTTGATCAGCTCACTGGCCGCATTTTCTGTCCACAACCCCTTGGCGCCAGGGGTAGACGAGTTTGGAAGCAGTGTCGCCCTTTACGAGTCGTTCATCAGGGCAAAACAACTTCTGCTTCGCGAATAGATTGACGGAGAAATAAGGTGCTGCTTGCGTGGCTGGTATCACACGCACGTTCAATGCCCGCGTTCGAATCTGCCTCTTGCCATTGTATTGCCCATATTAATGGGTGTTCCAAACATCTCTTTTGGATTGCAAACGCTAGCTCAGACACACGTATCCTATAACTGCTATCAGGCATATATATTCGCTCCCAGGGAGTATTTGAATAGTAAACGTACATGCTAGCCATGCAGGCCTGGTGTTCGTGTCTTAGGGATGCGTAATTTCACCCATTTGTTCCTTGCACAGGGCTGCTAGTCTAGCTACATGCTATTGCCGCAATAGCTTCTTCGTCAGTCGTCGACTCTATACTAGTACACTAACTCATTTACTTTGCTTCGGAACCACCACAGGCGCGATTAGTCGTACTTATACAGCGATTCTGCCGGCCGGTTTAATCTACACCCATCACTACATCAGTAACAGAACGACGTGACCGGGTATAGGAAAGCAGATCAGCGACTGCGACTCACCACTAAGATGCCAACCTGCTCTGGTTCGTGGGTCTGCGCGGGCGTCCACTGGAACCCCGCCACCAGTACGGCGACGACGCGACGCATCTCGGCCTTGACAAAGCGCTCGCCTGTGCACCCCTTTGGGCCCTTTAGGAATGTCAGCATGCCGTACTGGTGGCCCTTCGCGGCCCCTCCGTGCTCGTTGAGCGTGCCGCGGGGCGAGCGAATAAGATCTTCGGTGGGTAGAGAAGATGCCGATACGTCTCCATCGCGACCCTGATAGGGCGTGATCCACCGCCCAGGGTCAAAAGTGGATGCCGTGGGGCCCCAGATGGCCTGGGACCGCCCCATGGCGTAGGGCGATAGCACGATATAAGTGCTGGCACGCACGGCGTGGCTCCCTACCGATGTACTACGTGTGATGGGTAAGTAAAAACTCCCTAACAGGTAGTGTGGAGTTGTGACCCACGTACGCGAGACTCTCACTGGCCAGAATTATGATGGATGTGCACAAGAACCTCAAAGTACCGTCGCTGAGGTAATCAAAAAAGCACAGCCATATTTACCTGGCGAGGGGGTTAAACTTTGGCCCGATACCATAGTATTGCGGACTGCTTCGCGCAGCGTCATGGGCAGCGGAGGCTCGAGGACGTCCATGTTCCGCGGCTGGAGCACAGGAACTACTGCTCTTCTCCGCATCTTGTGGGCGTCGCCCTCCTGGACCACGAGGCCGGCCGCAAGAAACCGCCGCGTGTAGCGCCGGAAGGCGCTGGTCTTCTCGAAGTCATACGCGCGGGCGAACAGGACGTCCCTCAGACCCTCGGCGCCTGTCACCACTAGGTACTCTGCCCCTAACACACCGCGGAAACATAGGAGGCCGTCGTTGGGTATTTGGTTTATCCACTCAGTGATTTGACGGCCCAGTGGTGTGCTAAAGACGGCGCCCACATGGCCCGTCACCAGGTTTCCTGCCGACTGTGGCTCATCATCAACATGAAGTCCTTTGGGCGTATATGTTCTACGATATTAGTGACTGGAGGATCTCGGACATACAGGTGGTTGCGGCAGACCGCGTAGTATGCTCCATCCTGGCCTGACGAGGCATCTCCAAAGTATGTACACTGCAACATCTGCTATAAGCATAACAGAAATGATAAGAATTGCCCCACAGAGACATTTTAGACACATTGACTGTAAAGATTGGCAGCTTTAATACCAGATATGATAAGAACTGCAGGTACACCTAGAAAGAGAGCTGAACTTAACAGCGTCATGTTGGCGAAGGCTAGGTAGGTCAGATCAGCAAGCCCTTACGGCATACTCCTCCGCATCCAAACGAATCTCTCTTGTAGTGCGGCCTAGGAACCAGGCACCGCCTAGCATGATACGTCACCTCATCTTGACAAATTGCTGATACATTGTCGGGTCAAAGATTAGATATAGTTCCATTGCCGATTGATGACCTCCCCGTCGTGCCCAGCAGCCAATCAATGGTACTAATTGCTACATGCTGACGGTATTCTATGCGCCAGGCCTTGGCCATACCGATTTCACCAGTCATCGTCCCTCCGAGCGTCAGCAAGAGAGATATCTGTCATCGGTCTGTACCAACTCGAAGACGCGGATGTTTGGTGGTCTGCAGGTAGTCCCTCCATCCAAGATAAGCGTAAGCTGACATCACTCGATATGCTTCGTTATCAAAAAGCTCACCGCGCGGCAAAGAATGAGGAGGCGTTACGCGCTCTGATCGTACTTCCTCGACATCTGTCACTTGTGGCAAGCTACTATTAACATGGCGAACAGCATCCTGGTGACCTGCGCACAAGTCTTGTCAGCGCCGGCACTCCTGCTGTTTGCGTTGAACGTGCCCTCGGTCTGTTATCGAAACTATGCCACGAGGGTGCTGACAACCCTTCTGACGGCCGGCGCCGCGGGAAACGTCGTTGCGACGGTGAAGATTACTTACCCGTCGGTGGCATTCATGACGCGCCTGCTCGAGAGCTGGACGATCATCTGGGCGGCCGTTTTGCTGTTGCGTCACAACCCCGTCTCAAATGCCCGTCGGCGGCGTTGGTCCAGGGAGCCGAGTCTCGACGGCGAATACGAAGAGGGAGGGCTTGTCTGGCAGAAGTACCCCCGGCGCAGCTGGGCGGCTCGACTTGCGTGGACGTCGAATTTACTCATCAGCTTCCGTGGCGTTGAATGGCAGTTTGGAAATTCGGGTGCGCATAGTATTTTATATTAGTTTATGTTGCCGGCGTGTCTATGTTACTGACGTATTGCGGCACAGAGAAAGAGAAGGCTCACGGTGCAGTAGACCGAACTCGGCCGAAAGTAAGCAATGAGCAAGTCAGCATTGCATTGTCGATACTTAAACTATCGCGAGATATTCTGGTGTTTCGGGCTGTCTTGATGATCGCAGCCCAACTAGAGGGACAACTCGTCGGGCCTGGTTGGCAACTTCGAGCCCTGCATACGATGACCTTGATTACAACAAGTATTCCGTTTATCAACTTCTGCCACTCCGTCTGGACCATGGTAGGGGCATTAGGGCAGCTTGCGAACCCTTCCACCGCGTTCGATATGCAGCGGTATAACCCAAGCCCTTGGGGTCCAATGGGCGCCATGATAGAATATGGACTTACCGGTAAGCATAATGCAATGTTCCTCCGTTCTTGAGTTACTGAAAATCTTTTCTCCCTCTCGAGGGTTATGGGGCGTGACCCGGCACAACTACTTCAAGTTCGGCTTTCAGTCGGCGTCGGATCTGGCAACCCCGCGCACGAATAACCCCAGGCTTAAGCCTCTCCTTCGGCTACTGCGCATGTTTTGAACATTTCTCCTTTCTGGCATGATGCACTACTGCGGATCGTACATGCTGCCGGGGCCGACGCGGCCGAGCAATGAGCTTCTATTCTTCGTCCTGCAGGGGGTGGCCGTCACCTTGCAAATCCACGTCTACGATCAATTCGTCGGCAAGCTATACCGTCGCGTCCGGAACCCGCTGCTGGTGTCGGCGTGGCTCTGCTGGACTGGGCCGCTCATCTTTAAGGATCATAGAATTGGGGGAATGTGGAGCGTTTCTTGATCGTATGACACGTCATCGCCTGTTGGTCGAGTCTACTCTATCACCCTCGTCAACCGTAGCAGACGGCATATCGTATCATGACTCCTGAGAGACGGCTACAGCTTGTGGCATGAGGCCAAGTCAAGCATTCGTTACTTTTACGATCTGAGTGGTTTGTGAGAAGAAATGTCGGATTTATTTTTCTTTAACTTGGCCAATGTCTCTGAATCACTTAGGTCGTCCGATTATCATTGAAGTTAATAAGACACATATAAAGCCCAGGGTTAAGGGTCCCCCAAACCCTGGCACTTATGACCCTGCAGACTATCAATATAGAAAGCTCACCTACTGGATACCGGTCTACCTTACTGATACATTACGATTTCCTAGATAAACTAGAATTTATAGCAGTTTTACAGCCTATCAGCTTATTCTAAGCGTCACCGTTGCCTCTTACAAGACCAGACGGCATCTCGTCTATGTCCAAGAGCCTTAAGAGTACGCAGTTTAATCTAGAAACAGGGGTAGCAAAAGATAAGGACTTAGCCTAAGCAGCAGAGGACGGCGTCTGTACCCCAATCTGGTGAGGCCACAGCAGAAGAGCTTAGGCGATGTTCCAAAAGAAGCCAGAGAAACTTGATGCAATAGCCTCTGGGCCCAGACACAAACCGCACCGAGACCATAAAATCGACGGTATATACGCGAGTGTTATATTGAATACATTCTGATTGAGCGGAGCCATGTTCCCCATGCGAATGGTGACAGTGTCTGTATGAAAAAGCGTTCTAGTCTGGCCAAATGAGATGATGCTGATGTAACGGATGGACCTTACATGTTCTCTCACACTTGCCAGTGGCCATGTGCCAGGCCTTGGCAGTCTCATCGTCCGAAGCCATGACGACGCACCCCCCGTCAGCTTAGAAGACGGCTGGTGAGTAGGTTAGTTCCCGTCGCTCGAGCGGTTTGCCTGCTGAGAAGTGCCCGCTAGAGCATGAGGACTGTCTTTCTTACCGGCGATGATGACTAGAAAGGCGGAGGAGATCCTTAGGCCTGCGGCGCTCTCTTGCAGGTCATCGAGCCAAAATCACGGTCGATCCTCATCAATCCCAGTCGGGAGCCATGCTACACAGATGCAGACGTCAGGAGGGGCCAGGGCACGAGCCATTCATCTTGATGGGACGCACATCCACTCTAGAGAGGCCAAACAATCACGCCTATCGACGCAAATAGCCACCGTTGGCCCTTGACTTGAACAAAGAAACAGACAGACGCCGCGGGAGATTGCGATTACGGCCAGTGACACAAAAAATGTCTAAATAATGCCCTCTATCCCTTGCGTTAAGTGTTTGCCATCAACAACGCACGTCTCCGGTCGAGTGTTGGGATATATCTGCACCCTCGGCCTCGAGGCGCATCACCTGTGGTTCGACAACTTCCACATCGAAACACAGAAACCACAACAAACACCAAGTGCTGCAAATAACCATATTCGATAGCCTTTTTCTCTTCTTGAAAATAGAGAGACGCTAAGTCACGAAATCAAACCAACAAACTCAACGCATGCCACTGACAACATCACAAGGCGGCTCGGACCACAAGGGCCAATGGTTGTGAACGGCACCAACGTCATGAGGAGACCGAAGCTTGTCGACTACTCCGATAGCGAAGGCGAGCCCATGGACCCCTTTGGGACCGTTGTATCGCCTAGTGAGCAGCCAAGCCCTCCTGAGCTGCAGGACGAGAACGAACTCGCCCAGATCGTGATCCGGCTACAGCACGAGTACATCGAGGAAGTGGCCAATCTCGAGAGGCGGCATGAAGAGGCCGAAAGGCAATTGCGAGTGTGGAAGGCGCGGATCGAAGACAGGCTGCAGCTGCAGGTCAATGTCATGGCCTCGATCATCAAGGTGAGTATTGTCGTGGCCGAGCAACCTCCCCTGGCGAATAGGCGGCCATTGAACGATGCTGACTGGTGACAGGAAGTCTTTGGCGTAGATGCAACTAACCCGACTTTGCAAGACAACATGCTGCAGTCCGATGAGAGCAACGGCCATGCGGCCACACAGGTCCCGCCGTCGCCGTCGCCGTCGGTGACTCCACCTGCGCTTGTCGAGCCAAGCGTCCAGCCAACTGTTCCTCTTCCACGACATAGAAATATGTCAAGAGTGACTTCGCCTGTCCACGTACGAGAGGGAAGGCCGGAGCCTCCAGCACGGAGTGAGGATGGACGTCAACTACAAATGGCCCCCCCGTCGGCGCCGTTAGTAACGCGCAGCACTGGCAAGAAGGCGCCTCGTCCACGGCCTGTTGGAGCGAGTCATCGCCCATACGAAGCCACGAGGAAGCCAAGGAATAGGGCTAGCGAGACCAGCCGCGCGAGAACAGTCAAGACCGGGCACGGGCAGGCCATGGCCATGAGCAGCATCGACGAATCCCACGAGACGGCCGAGCCCACGGCCGACGCCGGCGCCGAAGACAGTCCGCAGCCGCCGACGCGTGCTCAAGCAGCGCCATTGAACCCCTACGAAGATCCCAAATACTTCAGCACGCTCACCGTCTTCGACAAGGACGGCAAGCGGCGGCCCATCTTCCAGTTCCACCAGCACCCGGCGACGGTCGAGGAGCAATGGGCCGAGTTTCGGCACGGCCTTCACGGCCAGCCGCCCGTGGAGCAGCTGGAGGCGCTGTACAGGGCCAAGTGGCGCAACAGCACGTACGGGCGGTCCTGGTTTACGCGCCGCAAGGCATTCTGGGACAGGGTGAAGGAGATGATGGCCGAGGGCAGGACGGAGGGGCAGGCACTGGAGGCGATGAGGCGGCGTGCGGAGGGGGGCGGCGTGCCTAGCCTGATTGCGCAGCTTTGTAGGGAGCGGGGTCACGGGTCACGTCCGGATAGGCGGAGGGACCGGCCCCGTTTGCCGGGCTACAAGAGGGGGACGGGGGGAGGTTGCGACGAGGAGGAGGATGTCGACAGGGGACGGGGGAGTGATGAGTACTCGGAGACGGGCCGGTCAAGTCCTTTGAGGCTGCGGAAGAGGGTCAGAGTGTCGGTAGCAGGAAAGGAACAGGACAATGACGGAGTTTGAATCACTCTAACAGGGCCCTCACAAAGGACGGATTGATATCTAGCATCGGAATCTGGGGACTGAAGTGCTGGACTTGAGGAGTGACTTGGACATTTAAGCAGGCGAGGAAATGAAGTCGTCCATTCAAGGCGCAAAAAACAGACTGCGATGGCAAGGCAGAGGGGCATGCAACCATCTCAGAGCGAAGACGGCTTGGGCGGCATTCCTGGGCGACGAGTTAGTGGTGACACGATGCTACCGAATGGGCCGCAGTGATGCTTCTCAGCGACGAATGTCAGCCGACTCATTAGACGACGCCTCGCAACCCAAACGCGGATGGATTAGGTTGATTCGACCCGGACGTGCGAGGGAAGACAAACTCCTGTCGAGGAATCAGCTGTTTTAAGGTTTCAGAAGCACAGCGGCTAGGCTACGAGGAAGCATTCGAGACAGCGAGGGGGAACGGCGGTGCGTGGTTGTAATTCAAACCTAGAAAATTAAGAACAAGTTTGAATGGAAGTCGCAGTGCCGGTAACGACGAGGCACGGGGGAAGGGGAATACTGAACATGGATGGGGTTTTGGGTGTGGCTTCCGAGGGTTACCCTGTCGACAAGATCCGAAAGAGCCCGCGAAAGTGGTGTGATCTCTCGGGTTGGAGGGATCGAGTTGGCAAGGGCTGCTGGAGAGGGCGTCGTCCCCGTTGGTCAGTTGGTCAGCCAGGAGCCTCCAGGCGAGTTATGTGTATGTATCAGTGTGTAGGACACATATAGGTAGTATTTGCAAGGGCAGCGGGGCGGATGTAGGTAGTGGTTCGTTGTGGGATGCATGGCATGGCCTTGAAGGTTGAATTCGTTCATTCTCGGAAGCGCAAAGCAAGCATGCAGGCAGGCGGGCGGGTGCAGCTCTGGTCGGGTCTTGGGTTAGCAACTGGGACAACCAACAAAGGATTCAATCAAGAGTGACGAACATGGTTATTGTGCTATTGTTGCCGGTGCCGTAGTGTACACTAGGCACTAATCGACGATCGACGGCGATGGCGATGGCGATGGCGATTCGTGGAGACGGACCCAAACGGAGGGGACAGAGAGGACGAAGCAAAAAAACGCGGAAAAGAATAAGAGAATAGCGCCAAGACATGCATGACCCAGGTAAATTGCAACCGAACATGTCGACCTGACGTGATTAATTGGCCCATTTGCCAGGAAGAAAAAGTATCCACACGATCGATGCCAGTGCCTTGGTACTGTGTTGCAAGCTCATCCCGTCCATGTGTCGATGTGTTGGGCGTTTGGTCTTATCGTGGCCGATATTGCGGCTGGTCGAGAGAAGAAAAGGTTTTCAGAAAAAGGAGAGAGAGAGAGAGAGATTTATGCAAAGAAGAGTGAGTGGTCGTCGAGGAGAGAGAAGAGAAAGAAAAGAAAGATTGAGCACTCCTGTCACTTGCATGACGTGTTTGTGTGTTACTCAATGGGCAGGCACGCGTATACTCGTGGGAGGAACGATGAGGTTCGCGAATAGTCACGATGTCGATCTGGATATTCGAGGCAGGAAGGAACCGACTTTCAGTCAGGTAGGTACCTGCCTACCTACCCTATCTTCCTACCTACATACCTCCTTCTCCAAGAGTAGGTATCCGTACCTAGATACGTATCCGTGCTGGGAGGGGAAGGGGGGTACGTATAATGTACATGAGGATTGTGCGGAAAGGTACGCGCATTGGAGTGTAGACGGAACAGGAAGGAGAGGGAGGGGAGGGCCAGTAGTACAAAGTACTTGTACCTCTTCTAGAATCTGCCAATCATAACCTGCAGCTCTGCTGGAGTGGGTCCGCACTGGGCCAGATCGGTCCGCTTCTTCAGGTGTATCCACTTTTCCCTTCTTCTGTCTCTCTGGGATGAAAACCCTCTTTAATTGTCGCTCTTGGTGCTCCCCGTCCGCTCATCGCCATCATCGTCACCATCGTCCTTCTCCTTCTCATCGTCAATCCATTCATCGTCAGTGTATCAGTTGCGTTCATGATCAAATCCCTCCCGCGACTGCAATCCAACATACGAGGCCTTCTTCCCGCAAACTTCCCACCCGACCCTCGTCAGGAATCCATTTTCGCCCAACGAGCAACCACCCGGCTTCTTCCTTATGGATGTAACCCTGGGCCCAATCCCGACCCTCGTTCGCAGACGTCTAGGGAGGGGGGACTCGGGGAGCCATGGTCATGCGCTGTGACCCAAGCCTCGGCGCGCAAATCCCCAGGGGGTTGCGGCTAAGAGACGTGACGGGTCGTCATCAAGGATCGCCCGTGACAGCCAAGGGACCATCCGGCTGCACATTCGCCAACGACATGCCTCACTACCCACAATCGTGCAGCTTCAGCACGGAATCGCCTGAACTAGACGGGGGCCTAATCTTGGACTTCCAACTATTCTTGACATCGCGCTTGCAAGACAAATCGTACCCGACACCCTCGTGAACCATGACGGCCCTCCCCGGCGCTGGCGTGCGCATCTACATCATCTCATAGCGCAAACAAGACATGCATAATGGATATATCATATCAGGCTGGGCATGGAAAAGTCTGAACCGCCACGTTGGTTCCCTAGTTGAGACGGATGAGGCGCATCCACTAAGGAACGATCCTCATTTGTCCCCGGGTCCGTCTTTTTGACCCTCCTCTCTCTTTTCACAATTCACTTTTTCGTATCCGCATCTTGCAGCACCGACCCCTTTCTCTGCATCCTGATCGCCGAAAAGGGGGCCCTTCGTTGTCCGGCACTCCTGAAGCATGGGAGAACCCTTGACACGGCCGTGGACTCCGAAGGGGCGGCATCGGGAACACAAAGAACAAAACCTGGGGCATGGGGCAGCTCCTATTCTTTGCTGCGCTTTTCACTCTTCACTCTCCATCGTTCAACCCTGCATCGCGTTTCCCCTCTCGACCCGCTAGCACGTGTTGCCGGCGCCCTGTCAGCTCGACGGTCTATCTGCTTTAAGAAGAAGAAAAATCAATCAAAATAGTCCCTATTTCGCGCCACGCACCTGCTTAGCCTCCTCTCCGAGGCCTCTCCTTGCTGGGCGAGAAAAAGGCCTTGGCGTCCGTCCGTCATTCGCTCGTGGTCAGCCCTCGCGAGTTACAGGACTCATATATTGTCTCACTCCCGCATACAACCCCGCCTACCTGATTAACATCCAATATCCCACCTTCGCCCGTCTTTCCTTCCAGCGCCGCAGCTCCTGATCCATTACACACCCGTCCTTGATCACCATGCCTTCATCGTTGCTGCTTTCCCTCCCCGACGAGGTCCTGCTGCAAATCGTCAGCCATCTGACGCCGCCTCTCGACGGTCTCGATATCCCGTTCCAGGCCTACACCGATCCGGATGGCGTCGTCGTCACAAATCGCGTCGCCCTTTACCGCCTCGCCTTTGTGTGTCGCCGGTTATCGGACCTGGCCATTCCCCATCTCTACCAGACCGTCTACCTCTGGGGCCAGACCCGGCTGCAGTCGTTGCTGCAGACTCTGCTCGAGCGTCCCGAACTGGGCGACAACATGCGCGTCCTCTCTTATGTCTCCTGCCTGGGCACAGATCACTATCCCACCGACGTTCTTTGCCCTTACAAGCGCACCGAATGGCGCCGCTTGGTGGATGCCTCGTCACGGTTTCCCGACCGCATAAAGAATTCCGTTCGGGAAGCCAACACAGAGCTCGAATTCGCCCAGATCGTCTTCGCCCTCGTTCTTTACTCGTCGCCGAACCTGAGCACCCTCCACATGCGCATGCCCTTCGCCGCGGGTGAGTACCAGAAGCTCAAGGACATCATCACCCCAGACATCGAGACCGCCGAAGGCTGCCCCCGCGTCCTGAGCTCTCTCACCCGCGTCATGCTTGAGCCCATGCCCGACTTCCCGGGCGCGAGTTTCTGGCCCCGTCGCGAACTGCCGTGTCTTCTTCGCCTGCCCAAACTGCGCTCTGTCGAGCTCGGCTCCGCTGTTTTCCGGCCCGCCGTCCTCGATCCCGGTGACGGCTGGGGTGACGATGGCAGCTGGAAAAACGTCGAGGAGATCCGGCTTGTGCGCAGCAGCATGTGGGGCCAAGGCTGGCATGCCATCTGCGCCCTGTGCCCGAACCTGAAGCTTCTCGAGATGGGCCCTTCCGGTGTCGCGGAGCAGCCTGCCGACGGTGAGCACAACCTCAACACCGCATTGTCCCTCGTTGCCGATACCCTCGAGACCTTCTCGTTCGAAGGCATCCTCGCCGGCAACTTCTCTCAGCACGTCGGCGGAGACGGCACTCTCACTTGTCTGCCCAAGATGAAGGCCTTGCGCAATGTCAAGCTCGATATTGGCATCCTGTATGGGAACCCGGAGGGGGTGCAAAGTATTGATATCCGTGACCGCTTGCCGCCATCAGTGGAAATACTCGACTTGGCAGAACTGTGGCACGACGTCGAGGTCGACCAGCTCTCCACTAAGGAGCGTTGCACGTACGAAAGGGGTCTTCAGGAAGCTCTGCATAAGCTCGTCTTCGAGAGCGGAGAAGCCTTACCCCATCTGAAGGAGATCACCTTTCGCCCGAACCCCTTTTACGACCCTTTGCCGATACCCGATACTCTCAAGTACTACCCGTCCAAGGTCGCCTTCAAGCTCGTCTACTAAGTCCCGTTTTATGATGCGAGTATGCGACCAACAGCACAATATCTTCTGATCAGCCGACTCCGAGTCAAGGGCAGGCGAAGGATGGGACCTGGCCAAACGCAGGAAGGATTCAAATACATATTACATAGACATGACCTAATGAGACCACATTCAATTCAGACAGTCCTTGCCTGTCGGCTTGTATGAACAATGACCTACCTCTGTTTCGAATGAAGGGCAAAACCTTACTAGAGCCTCCGCGAGCTTCCGTGCCGCTTACCATCCGATGAGCCATTCTTGCTTTTCCGCCGGGGCTCGGCCCCGTCATCGAACCGGACCGAATAACGCCTCCGTACTGGCTCTGGTTGACACCATTCCTCACGAGCACGCATCCCCTCTCGACGCTCCTCTCCGTCACGGTCTTTTCTGCCCCAGCTCTCTGGGCCAAGGTACCTCCACGGTCTGGCTTCCTCGTCCTGTCGGGTCTCCAGGCTGCCTGCCTTGCCCCGACGCCCCCACCCCCGCCGGCCGCGGTCCTCAACGATCCCGCCGACCCTCCGCTGCCCTTGCTCCTCGTACCTCCGCAGCAGGCCGACGTACCGAGCCCAGCAGTCCGCCAGGACCTCAGAGCTCAGCGCCAGGTCGTCCGCGCCTACGACCGCATCGGCGACGCGCCGTATCCAGGCGCACTCCCACTCGCGGAGGACGCCCTCGCACGCGGTGCCGTGGGCGGCGCGGTGCCGGGCGCGTTCCCTCTCGATCCGGAGGCGGGCCTTGTCGAGCTCGGCCTCAGCGTGAAGGAGGATGCGGCCGATGTCGAGGAGCTCGGCGAGGGCGAAGCGGAAGTCGCGGGACTCGACGGCGCAGAAGTCCGGGTCCCGGTCGAAGGTGCGGAGGCGGCGCCAGGACGACGCACCAGGCTGGGCCGCGAAGGGGTCGGAGGGGAGGGGCTTGGACGGGTGCGGGCTCGAGTGCGGGTATGAGCGGGAGCGCGAGGGCGACATTTGTCGCGAGGGGACAGAGTAAGAGTCATGTCTGGACGACGCGGAGGGGGCACGGAAGTATCGATTGTATCTCGTTGGATCCCGGCACCGGCGCGCGCAGCGGTGGACGGCGACGTCGAGGGTGCAGCAGCCGTGGGAGGGGCAGCGCCCGAAAGGGGCGAGGGAGTGCCGACGGCTGCTGCTGCGGCCGCGGGCGGACGGGGACGGAGGCGGTTCGCATGAGCAGGCCAGGGGCGTTTCGTAGGGGTCGACGTATAGGGTCTTTGTGGAGGTGATGACGGGCCGGACGTCGCATGACATTGTGTGGGTGTAGACTTTATAGCACATGGTGACGGAGGGGGGTTCTTGGATGTTAAGGCGGATGTAGTCTGGCCAAAGTGACAGACTCGGGTAGAAACGACAACGATGAACACTGGAGTAGAAATGAAGATGCCGGCTTTTCTGAGTGGTGTGTATACGCGTGAGGCGCAAGAGTCAGATGTTGTGCGGGCGTATATGTATACTTTTCCTGGGCCTGCAGAACAGTCGACGGGACATGCGGGCCAGACGGGTCTTATAGAGGGTTTTGGATTAGAAAAAACATGATCAATGTATTGTTTCCGCGGTTGGTGAACACGAAGATCGGTTCTTGGGGTGGAAAATGGGCATTTTGGGGAGGGGGCGAGGGGGCTGTAAGCGGGAACAAAGAGGCTGTCTCATAACCACCGAGGTGTTTTTTTGAAAAAAAGGAGAGAAGGGGGTTCATCTTGTTTTTGTTGTTTGGTCTTTGATGAGATCGAGGTCTTTTGTGTGCGGACAGCGGATAAAGTAAACGATCAAGTTCGAACAGTGCTTTGTGTGTTTTTGTTAGTATCACGGGGGGGGGGGGGGTTGTGACCTTGGTCAAGCCTTTTGGCTGGGTGAAGCAGCAGTCTCTTGATGATATCTACTGCTGCCTGAAGAAGGGGGGGAAGGGAGGAATCTGGTGATCTAGATACAAGTGAGTTGCAACCTCGGTATTCTTGTTGTTTCGGATCCAATTCATATCCCAGCTGTTTCGTTACTTGCGTACTAGTGTAGACATTGGGACAGAATCGAAGATGGCGAGGCCCCGTCGGTAGGGGCAGGGGGTTTGGTTCCGCCGTGCTACAATGCCGATCAGTACCACGACCGTCTGTCTAGCTTCGAGATGCACCACGGGATCTGGGGAGTGAAATCAAATGAGTCGTATTGGCCCTGCCCATCGTCTGCGTGGCGTGTATACACACCTAGTATACGTGCCTTCACGGTCACTGGCAGTTACTCAATGTCTATGGTCCCCGGGACGGCACTTTGCTGTACTTTACTTCTGGCTACTTACACTCGTGTACGTTCTTTGGCGAGCACTAAGTTGCTGTGAGTCAAATCAGCCCTGCTCATCGTTTACGGGGCGTTGTAGACCTGGTATACATGACTTCACGGTCACTAGCAGTTGCTCTATGCCTATGGTCCCCAAGATGGTACTTCTTTTGTGCTTCGTTCTTGGGTAGAGTCCACCTTGTCTCCAGATTGGGGTGGGCGAGCTCGCTTGTTCTCTTCCCGCAGAGGACGAGGACAAGAAGGAAGTTGGTCCCGGCAGCAGAGATAGTTATATCAAACCATCTGCAAAAGTGTGAAACCAGCATTCCCGGTGAGTAATCTCATCTTGGTTGCGAACCCGGTACCGTGGAATCGGGGTTGTCTATCATGCGAGTTAAAAAAGTTGGGTTCTTTTTCGCAGCCAGCCCTATGTCGATCGGGGGTCTCGCATTCCGCATGTGTGCCACCCGGTCTTTCCTTTCTCTCGCTGGATCTTTACCCGGTAAGAGGTTTCAACATTTTCTCGACATGTTTTGAGGTAGGGAAACATTTTCGATGAAGAATTGTGGTGGTCATGCCTGGAGCGAGGCATCCTGCCCCCCCTCCCCTGAGTTTGTGGTAATCTGGCTGGTACCAAACAGCTTGAAGTCTCTCGCAGCTACTAAGTTTTCAAGTGAGAGTTGTTGAAGCCCACGTCCACACCCGGATCTAATGACAGTCTGTCAGATGATTGACCTTTTGCTCAAACTCAACTTGGGCCCCTCTTTTTTGTCTCTCCCGGTTTCTCCCCCTCCGCCCTGCCCTCGCCCCCCCCCGCCCGTCTCTCTCTGCTGAACGCAACTATAGTGTGAAGGACGGGATCAGAAAGTTCCCAAGGAAATCACACGTCCAGTCTCTAGTCTAGCTTCGGGCTCCTTCTGCGTCTCTTGTGCTTTTACGTCTACCAAGAGGGTCAGGCAAACATTGGAGTCACAGAATCCGGGTAAAAATAGATGGGGGGTTGATCTCCTTAGAAGGAGATCATATCATTACGCTTTATTATTGGTATCGTAGCATAGAAAATACGGAACGGTCGCCACGAATGACAAGGTCAAAGTGGTACAAGAATATTATATCCAAAAACCAGTCAATGTCTACTTTTGACTGCTTCCACCCAAGCACCATCCCATTAACCAAGTAGTATTTGCGTGCCAGACGCATAGTGCAGAGTTGTATAGTTGTATGTACGATGGTTTCATCCAATATATTCCAGCCGTCTGAACGCTGTGTGGATGAAACTATCTTTTTTTCTTTTCGTCCGGTCGGGTAAGGGCTCAAAAGGCCGAAGTGGATGTCCTCCAGGACGCCAGAGAAGTAATATCCCGATGTTGATGCGGGAGGGCTCTCCAATTAGATACAGTTTGATGATAGCATCCGCTGTATGCTTGTGTGTTGTATGTGTGGGTATGGTATGGGTGGGTGTTGTATGTCGGGGCGTTGTATGTCTGGGGGCTGGTCGGGCTTGGTGTCTGGGCCATCCAAGAAAAGGCAGGGAAGTAAGGATTCGTAACCACGTAACCCAAAGGTAGTGGCTGAGCCTGGTCCTCCCCCTTGCGCCACTTGTGGTCCATTTCCCACATCTTGTAGTCCCTCAGCCTCTTAGGTGTGCGAGGGTTGAATAGGTCGATAAAGTTGGACATGGCCCTCAGCGTCTTGAGCGACGCCTGGTCGATAACGGAGTCCGCGCCAGGGCCACTCCCGCGGTGAGGACGCAGCGCCGCGAGTTGGACCATGTGGGCCTGACGGGTGTTGACGTACGATGGCTTCTCGAGCCGCTGGCTGCCTTCGATCAGACGGAGTTGTGCAACTTCGGGATGAAAGGCGGGCTCGATGGGCGTGTATTGCAGCCAGTGCTTCCACTTGTGGTCGAAGGCCTCGGCGATGCTTCTCGTGCCGAAGGAAGTGATCAGAAACACCTCGACGAGTCCCTCGGGAGATGTGTTATTGGACATGATGACGACCGGGTGGTTATATGCACCATTGTCGAGAACAGGCTCGAGCAGGTTGCTTGGGATGCTGTTCCGGGATGGGAGCCACATTATCTTCCCAGACAGACTGTTGGCTCGCTGAGCTGCCATCACGCTAGAGGTCGTCTTCATCTCTCTGTCCATGTTTACTCGACCTGAGAGCTAAGATGAGAGTAAAGGTTAGGATTGAGAGAAGAGTTGGGAGGAGAGTGGGGGGGAGAGTTGGAAGGAGGGTAAGGAGGAGAATTGGGAAGAGATTCGGGAAGAGATTCGGGAGGAGACTTGGGAGGAGAGTCGGGAGGAGAGTCGGGAGGAGAGTTGGGAGGAGATTTGAGAGGAAAGTTGGGAGAAGAGTTGAGGGGAAAGTTGAAAGCAGAGTTGGGATTATAGTTGAGGTGAGAAAGAGGATGGTACAGGTAGGTGAGAATGATACGATCGAGTGATTATTGACAGAAGACGACAACAACAGCGTGAGCAAGCATGCTTGAGTAGAAAGAAGAGAAGAACAATGGTCTGGGGGGAGACCGGGAAGATATTTTATAGGGGAGCAGTTATTAAGTTTGATCTTGTTGCCATAACTTCACTTACGTTCGTCGAGCCATGGCTCAGGTATACCTACCATCACGGTCCCGGTCTGCTTCATGGTCCCGGTTCGCTGACGCTCAGAGCCGTGGTCCAGTTACAAAGCTAAAGTTGCCTGGTTGAATCGTGAGGTGCGGCCCAGAGCGGCCATTCGACCCTGCGGGCATATCGCCCGAAAAACACATTGCAGACACCCAGAAGGACATAACGCCGTGAAATACCGGACCAGAAGCTTAGGGTGTCTTGCCTGCTGCCTGGGGCAGAACCCCTTTCCTGAATGACAACGGCGTTTTGGGGGGAATCATGATCTACCATGTCGAGAGTGAAGATGTGTATACTTCGAGGATGTTTCGGCGGGGCGTGGTCAATATGCCCCTTGTTCTTGATAACGCGTGACGAGCAGTGATTACTGTGCGGTGTGCCAAAAGACTGGCCGCTTAGCTCTTGACAGGCGCCGCCTATTGAGGAGTTGGTATCTCTAGTATCAGCACGTAGGAAACAGCATCAAGTGTTGGAACATGAATGCCAAATGGCCTTACAATACCCAATGATTCAACACAACTGGGACAATAGGAATAGACTAGATACTCGGCCCTCGGTCATTTCAAGAGAGAACCAATGTACCTTAAGACCGAACTGGCACACCGAACTGGCACATTAAATTAGTGGACAGAGTATATCTGTCCATATGACAACCAAATCTTATGCTATAGGTTTAATCATGGAAACATATTCGTTGATTCACTCTATATTTGTTGACCCTTAGTATGAATCTATCCAGTACTATCAGAACTGAGAGAGCCCATTGAACCGTATGACTATAATTGGTCTATTGAGTCTCTATATATAGTTCCTGATGCTGAATCTGTATATATAGTCTATTAGAGGGGTTGACTGATAGGCCTAGATACGTGACTAGTGGTGCGTATTGCACACCATATACGTTGCTTTTGTGTATTACTTCCCCCCCATGACTTCTCCCCCACAACTAGGAACTCCCCGCATGCAAGCTGACCCCGATCCCCGTCAGTCTTGCCGCCTTATCTTCATCCAACTCTCAACATATCCGTGGGCCTCTTCGTCCAGAAGGCACGATCCGCCTACACGGTGCGCTGTGCGGCCGGTCCGCCGCTGCATCAGTAAAGCTATGGACCTGGAAGTATATGTAAGCGGCGGCGGACATGCGCGTATCACTCGGGGGGCTCGGGGTCCGGCGTCACCGTGGAGAGCCTCCGCACCTTTGATGAGGTTACTCTCTTGCTCCCAGTGCGTCGGGATGCGAAGGACCTTCCTGTGGATCACGTTGAGCGCGACGGCCGCGTCCTCGGCGCGGACGATGAGCCTGTCCCTCCTGTTAGGTGACCGGCGTCTTCCCTCTAGGGTCATGAAACAACATTGAACCGGAAGGGGAAAGAAAAGGGGTGTTCACTCACGATACGCTGATCTCGCTCGCTCCCTGGCTCACCATGAAGATGTTGATCTTGGCCGACGCCAGCGCGCTCGTGATCTCCGCCGATATGCCAACCATGTTCCGCATTTTATGCCCGACGACCGTCACGATCGACATGTTTTCCGTGACGATGACCTTTTTGAATGTCAGATCACATGCCCTAATATTGAACCGTGGAAGGACCAGGGAACCCCCGCGTCTCTCACCTTTCCGAACTTCTCCAACTCGGTATTCAGCCTCTGATATCGACACGAGCCGTCGTCGATATGCCGGAACGCGAGGCTTACGTTGCGTTCGCTCGTCGTCACGAGGTCCGTCTGGATCCGCGCCTCCTCGAGCCGTTCGAACACGCCGACGAGAAACCCCTGTGACTTGGTGTTCCTATTGGCCGCCACATTGACCAGCATGATGTCGTCTTTGACCGTGATAGCCGTCGGCCGCCGTCTCTCCCGCTGCGCGCCGCGGCATCCGTTGCCTACCAGGAAGTCGACTGTGGGGAGCGACGGCTTGACGTCGTCCCCCGTGACCTTCGTCGCCATCGGCGGCGTGAGGGGCGGGGACGGCGTCCACGTCGGGTAGACGACGGTCCCCGTCCCCGCCGGGTTCAAGACGTTCTTGAGCCGCAGCGGAATGCTCGCGCAGCGGATCTGGTCCATGGTCAGCGGGTGGATGACCTCGCTGCCATAGTACGTCAGCTCCGTCGCCTCCTCGGGGGTGACTGTCGGCAGCAGCTGCGCCGAGGGGACCTTGCGTGGGTCCGCCGTGAAAACGCCTTCCACCTCCCTCCAGATCTGCAGCTCGGCGGCCTTGACGCCGACCGCGCACATGGCGGCGCAGAGGTCCGAGTACCCGCGGCCGACGCCTTGGAGCAGCGAGCCCGGCATAAGGCCGAAGGAGCCCGTGACGACGGGAACGCTGTCGCCGCATGCGCGCACCCGCTTGGCGATCTCATCGGCGACGATGTGGTAGAAGCACGGGCCGAGGCCGTCGAACGCCGCCTTCTGGTCGGCGGCGCTGCCGCCGAAAGCCGCCTCGACGACGTCGTCGAGAATCACCGGCTCTGCGGGGACGTCCTTGCTGTTGAGCAGGGCCGACACGACCCTGCACGCCAGCCTCTCGCCGAGCGAGACGACGCGGTCCTGCGCCCGGGGCGACAGCTCCTGGATGATCTGCGCGGCGAGCAGGAACCCGCGGAGGCTCTCGCACTCGCTGACGATGACGTCCCGCGTGATGTCGAATATGTCGTGGCACAGGTCGCTACACGTGCCGTTGGAGTTGATGAGGTGCTTCTCGAGCAGCCGCACGTGGTTGTCCCGCACGGCGTCGACAGCCCGGTTCAGCTGGGCCTGGGCGGGGACGCCGGCCTCGGCGTGGGCTATGCACTCCAGCAGGAGGCTCGTCGTGCCGCCCGCCTTGGTGGAGCCGGATAGTGCCGAGCACACGACGACGAGGTTGTGGTCCCGCCGATGCGACGGGATGATGTTGCTGCAGATGGGATCGAGGAGCCTCCCCAGACTCGTCCCGCCATACTTTTGTACGAGCCACGGCCTGCTGCTGTCATTGGCGCCGAGCATGGTGGGATGTGCCGCGACGGACGGGCGGACGGGCAGACGGCGGTCGGATGCGGGAGGGCACTGGTGGGTGGTGTGGTGACGGAGGTGGTGGTGGTGTTCCTATATGCGTCGACCGGCAGCTGTGGACCTTGGCCTTTGGTTCCGATGGGCGTGCAACAGCTTGGTTTACCAGGGCCTCATATATCAATTTCTTTCCAAACTTGCGACAACAAGGTAAACAGGGTTTTCTTCCAACGTACGGTGAACCACGACCATCAGCGAGGGGAGGTAGGGGGATTCAAAGTCTATGGTATCCCAGCGTCTTCGATGTGAGGTAACGTCGCGATCCTCCACCCAGTTCGGTCAGTGGCCTTTTTGGTAGAGTCGGTGGCCTTCTTCCTCGCACGTCTAAAGATCCCATCTCAGGATCCGGCTGCGACCGTCAATGACGGTCCATTTTTTTTTTCTTTTTCTATTTACCCGACTCCTCGATGGAGCTGTCTCGTCGGTGAATGAGCCCCCATGGTCGCGGACCAAATCCCGGGTGCCTCGGGGTTTGAACCGCAACACGTTTATACCATACATCTCCTTGTCAAGAACGGACCAACTGCCCCCCCCCCCCCCCCTCGGCTCGGAGACCGCTCCGGACAGAAGATATGATGGGAACCCCAATCTTGTTTCACACCGGAGACCGTATGCCCGACGTCACACCAATGAAGTGTGTGGGAATATTCCCTGCGAAGGTTTGCACGTTAGCGTGAGGGGGACGTTGAGGTTATGCAGCTGCAGTCTCAGTCTACCAACTGTGCCGTCGGGGGTTTTTTTTTTTCTTTTTCTTTTTTTGCATTGACAGAGTAGTTCTTTGCATAATTATCAATCCCCAAAGCTGATCATCACTCTACAAAAGCAATGGGGGAGGGCAAAAGAAGGTTCAGACACAGCCGTACCATTCGGCTAGTTTGGTCCACTTCTCGAGTATAAAAGGCTGCAGAGCTATAATTCGGGGACTTCTTTATCTAGTCTACAGAGCCACTGTCATTGATGTAATAACGTCTAGTTATCAATGGGAAGAGTCAGACATAACTAGAAGCTTTTCGCAACACCGGGGCGAAACACTCCGGGGAAGGTACCTATTGCTCCGATCATAGGTACGTGGCAAGGGTTGAGGTATTGATTCAGTATCTAGTTGTTGACAGCCAACCTAGTTAGAGTAGAGTAGCAGGCGGCAGATGGCAGTAGTGTACTTGAGTCAACGAGAGCGTTGTTATGTCTAGTCGCGGAAAAGATGTCTCGCTCAGATTGGGAAGCAAGCCTAATATGCTGCGAAATTAGAAACACGTTGGTCCTCCCAGGAATTGAAGGAGGAATCATAGCAGAGGCCTATGCCGACACACATATGTAGGAATGAAGTGCGTGAAGTGAAAATATCGATATCGATCCTCCCTCGTAGTCAATTTATAGGAGTTACACGCAGGCGGGACTGGATAATAAAAAAAAAGCTAGAAAACTACTGCCACCCATTTACCCAACGCCAGCACCAGTCCTCCGGCATTTCCACGACCGTGTCAAGTCCTTCCAGCTCCGGTGAAACGATTTTGGATAGCCAGACCTATGCTACCAGCTCTCGAGCTCTCCCGCCAGGCTCTGGTTCGCCCCTGCCTTCGTATCAAGACTCGTGGAGCCTCCGGAGCCGCATGCCGCGGCGTATGTATCCGGCAGTCTGGAGCGCAAATGGGACTGGATCAGGGTTTCGAGCTGCTCGAATTCGAGCAGGAAACCATCATGCCCGTCCGAAGACTTTAGCATAAACAGCGACGCCCCGGGAAGGTGAGCGGCGAGGCGCTGTTGTTGCTCTGGCAGGAACAGCGCATCGGTCTCGACGCCGATGACCAGCGCTCCCGCGGGCATGCTCGACAGGACTTCGGCGAGGCCGTCATCGCCGCACCTCTGCGTGCGGCCGTACGCGACGTCGTGGCTGTCCATTTTGGCGGTGATGTGCAGGTAGCAGTTGGCATCGAACCGCTTGAGGAACTTCTCCCCCTGGTAGTGTAGGTACCTCTGGACCGAGAAGGACGGACCCCGCGTTCTCTGCGAGGTCGGGGTTTCGGGACGTCCCCCCCGCGTCCCTGGCGGCGCTACATCTGTCCGAGGCAGGTCCAGAGGGTGGTCGGGATGTCTGGACGGGGCCCGGGGCGGTTTCCTCCCGAAGCGGCTGTCGAAGCTCGTGCAGGACCGGTACGTCAGCATGGCAATCATCCGAGCGGCGGAAAGCCCCGCCGACGGCTGGCCCTCGGGCGTAGGATCGTAGTAGCCGTCGTCGAACTTGGGGTCGGAGAAGATGCACTGGCGCTGGGTCTCGGCCCACGAGATCCCCCAAGCAGAGTGGTCGGCGGCGGTGGCGATGGGAACGACGTTGCGGACGAATCCGGGGGGCGTGCAGAGCGGCCACTCGAGGGCTGTCATGCCGCCCATGGAGCCGCCAACGACGGCGGCAACTGAATTGACGCCGAGGGCGTCGAGGACCATCTTATGGGCCCTGACGTCGTCTCTGACGGTCGTCTGGGGGAACTCGATCGCATACCGTCGACCGGTGTCGGGGTTGACGGTCAGCGGCGACGCGCTCCCGTACGGAGAGCCGAACACGTTCCCGCAGAAGATGAAGAAATACCGGGGGTCGAATGCCTTTCCAGGTCCGATGAGAGGGTTCCACCAGTCGCCGACATCGCTGCTTCCCGTCAGGGCGTGGCATATGACCAGGACGTTGTCGCCTCGCTCATTCAGCTTTCCCCATGTTTTGTAGGCGACGGGACAGTCGCGGAGCACTTCCCCAGAATCCAGTGGAAAGAAGGGGACTGAAGCGAAGCGCTGGTTGTGAACGAGGCGAGCGTAGAAGTTGAACGGGTTTGGATCAGAATCGAGCACTGTTGGTGAGGATACGTCAGAGAGGGTGGCGGCTTGTTTAGCATGAAGAGTGACGTACAACGAACCGTTTCCATGATGAATATCGAGCTGAGAGCTGAAAGAGAGAGACAGTGTGTGTGTGTGTGTGTGTGTGTGTGTGGTTACAATGCGCCGACTAAGGCTGTGGGTAGACCGGGTCGAGGAGCTATGTTCGAGACTGGGCAAGGATACTGAGCCGGCTTGGTCGTATAACTGAGGCAGCTTTTCTATAATACAGAGGACCGGTCTAGGAGCTTTTTCGGATTCCAGGGGCTCTGGCAAAATCATTTGAGATCCGTTTCAATGCATTCCGGTACCGGATCGACTTACCCAACCCAGTATCGATCTGGCATACCTCTCTCCTGAGAGGGCTTTGATCTGACGATTTTCAGCAGCCACCTTCGGCATGTGTGAGACACTCTCGTCTGGGCACTTCCTTACGTTCGCACTGGCCTCCGATTCAGTTCACGTTTTTCTCTTTTGGAATGGACGAACCTATTGTATTGCTTCTTACAGAAGGGGATATATATATACAGTCAAATGGTAAATTGTACAGTTTAGACTATGTAGTCTAAGCTATATAGGCTATGTACATATCCTAGCGGGACGCTGCTACTTGTGAGGGTTTAAGTGTTTAGCTTACGCATGTCTAGGTTGGTACTGCGTGCTGGCTAACGTATGGATAGGCAGGCACCTTTTATCCCACATGGGAACAGGAACGGAGTTGAACAAGACAACAGCAACAGTTTGGGCGGACAGGATGTGTCGTTGGCAATTAAAAGACCCCACCAATCAAGACATCCTCACAGCATGCCCCTGCTGTTTAGTCACTGTGAAACGAAGACCCAAGACGGGTCTGCTCCATCGGATCACACATCCCTATCATCGCTTGATGAATAGATCGCCGGAGGAGGTGCCCCTCCGGGCATGTTGCCATCGGGCTTTGAAAGGTGTCCGGTGCGGGATTTGAGTCACGACCCCCGAAGATCTGGGCGGCGAGAATCGGGATGCCATGCCCGTCGGAGCAGCATCCCGCATGCAGACTCCCACCGGGCCAAAGCAGAAGGATCTTCAAGGCAACTCGCTGATAACGATACTGTATACATGCGGCAGGGAATTTTGTGTGTGACTCATTCCGCAGTCCCCTGGTAAGGGGCACCTTTAAAAGTGCCCCGACTGTTTGTGAATGGGCTGGGCCGGCCAGGTTTCGATCGCCGCCTATATACATCACCACAATGGGATTCACTCGTCCAATTGTCAAAGTCGCCGCCGTGCAAGCGGCTCCCGTTTCCTTCGACTTGGAGAAAAGCCTGCAGAAGCTGGGCAAGCTGACAGGGGAAGCTGCAGCGGCCGGTGCGGACCTCGTAGTGTTTCCGTAAGTCCGCACCACCGCCGCCGTCTCGCTGTTGCTGCTAAAAGGTGAAACAGTGAAGCTTTCTTGTCTGCATACCCCTGGAGATATGCCTTTGACACGACCGTTGGCGCACGGGAGCCGAGAGGTGACTCGTCAGGAAACCACCATGGAGGAATGTTGAGCTCACCCTTTTCACAGGGCGTCAATGGTTCGCCAAGTACTTCGACTCGGCCGTTCAAGTGCCCTCGCCCGCTTTCGAAAGGCTCCGCGAGACGGCCAAGGCGAACAACGTCCTGCTGCAAGTCGGAATCATTGAGAGAGAAGGCGGCACGCTGTACTGTACGGCCCTGCTTCTCGACCGAGAGGGCAAGATGGTGTACAAGCATCGTAAGGTAACGCGACTGATGACGTCGAGTGGCTGCCAGAAACTGACCATTGCAAGCTCATCCCAACGGCCGCAGAACGCCTCGTGTGGGGGAGGGGTTCCGGTGACGGCCTTCGGGTATCACAGACGGACATCGGGAAGGTCGGGAGTCTGATCTGGTTGGTTCAACCTGACCCGCCGGAGGGTAGCACAACGCTGACGCCAAGCGCAGTTGGGAGAATTACATGCCAGCCGCCCGCATGGCGCTGTACCAACAAGGCATCGAGTGAGTGTTTTTTTTTCTTTGGGTCGCGACGTGTCAGGGAAAGCAAGCCGTGGCAGCCGCCCGCTGACATGTGAGCTAACTCTGTTCGACAGGATCTATGTGGCGCCCCACGCGGACGACCTGCCGACGTGGGTGGCGTCGATGCAGCACATTGCGAAAGAGGGACGTTGCTTTGTCGTGTCGGTCAACTCGGTGTGCAGGGTCTCGGACTTCCCGTCCGACTACCCGCCGTTCACGGCCGAACACCCCGACCGGCGACCGGACGGAGGCCAGTGGGAGCCGGACGACGTGGTCAACCACGGCGGCTCGTGTATCGTGGGCCCGCTGGGGACGTTTCTCGCGGAGCCGGTGTGGGATGAGGAGACGATCATCTATGCCGACCTCAGGATGGCAGACATCACGGAATCAAGGGTAAGTGCCGTTGCCGCACGATCGTCGCCGCGTAGTTTCTCTTGGCTAACAGTGCGGGGCGCCTGCAGCTCGATTTCGACCCAGTCGGGAGCTACTCCCGACCCGATGTCTTGTAAGTGGACGATGGCGGTCAGAGTGAAAGGGCCAGGCCAAAGGGGGGCCGGATCGTCGTCGATCAGAAGCTGACAGGTCGTTCGAACCAGTTCATTAACAGTCAACACCAAGTCCGGCACAAACGTCGCGTTCACCGGCTAGGAACGGCAACGGGCCTAGGGCCGCCGCTGCCGGGTGCCACAGGCATTGCTTGCATGAGTGAGTCAATAAATTGAACCGCCAGCGGGGTCCAGTGCGGAGAAGTAAAGTCACGAAACTGACCCGGAGACCGTGTGGCTGCATAGTGATTGGGTGCCAACCGGGTGTTGATGTGCCGGTACGGTGACCGAGTTGCTTGGTCTGATTGAAGCTGAGGAAGTCATGTGCAACGTGCCAGCGAGCAAGGCGGACTTTTCCGTTAATTAGATTGATGGAATAGTCTGGACCTTGGGGTCAATTTGAGATTCGACTCTGACCCTAACCCTGAGGAGATTTGTCTGAACAGAGCAATGCAAATTCGACACATATACCACATGCCAAAACAGGCTATTGGTCCTAGAATTTTCCGTAAACCTGAACGGGGTCTATAAACCATGGAAGAATCTTGTAAGTAGCCTATCTCATTTAACCCTAAGTCAATCCAAGTTGGTTTTTCTCTTCTTGGGAGTGGGGCTGGCGTTCTGGTACGTTTGACTAGCGTGTTGGTGCCAGGAACCTCGGTTCAGAGCATTTGACAACTGGTGCCGTGTACCTACCTCATGTGGAGGCGGGGTCAATAGATGTGCAGATGTGGTGTCATCTAAGATCCACCTAGCACATGCTTTGAGTTTCGTAGCATGAAGAGACACGTGTTGCTAGAGACACGTGCTGTTTGATATACTGTCATGGAGCTTCACGCGGACAAAAGACGACACCTTTCTACTCTACTTTTGTTGTGCAGGGAAGAGAGAAGGAAAGAAAGATAGAGAGAGAGAGAGAGAGGGAGGGAGAGAGGGGGATGGAGAGAATTCGTTATGTGGCATCCGAACTTTTGTTGCATCTCGAGTCGAATTACTATTGTACGTGTATTATTAGTAGGGCTGGCTGACTTCTTAAAGAGTTTAGAGGGATCAAGGGGTCTGACGGGCACGGTAGCGGATGGGTTACGTCCGCTCAATTACTCATGGTGGAAAAAGAGAAGAGCATTTTCCAATCGGGCGTACCGTACCGTCTCTCCGTGAGAATCATGGATTCGTTATGGCAGAGTAAGATGATTGACTTTGGCGGATGAGACGGATACGTACCCCCGCCCGCTGGTGGAAGCCAAAGAAGACACCGTGCGATTCGACAGAGTTTGCTGTGCATGATGAAGGATGACGTGTGTGCGTGTAAAGACAAATACGGCTCGTTCACAGTGCGAGTGTGTCGAATGGGGGCCACGTGCGCGATAGATACATGGCCGCCAGTCCAGGGGTCGGGTTTACTGTTTGTGATATTTGATTGGTCTGGATTTACGCTCCAGCCCCATATACGGATCCACTCTCAGCCCATCTGTGCTTTCCCACTCCAGGAACGCAGCTTCTCTGAGAGCAGGTAAGGCAACCAATCAATCAACTACCGGTAAGAGAGAAAGAAAGAAAGAGCTACGCACCGCCAGGCAGCCCAGGCAGTCCACGTTAGGTATACGTACCTTGCCTATATTATGTAGCTTACTACCAAACCTACCATGGTGTACAATGTGGGGAGTTGGGCAAAACTCAAAATAGGAAAGGAGCAGAAACGGAAGAAACAGCAGTAAGAACACTTCCTAATTGGGGCTGACCGCGCCGCTGCCCGTTCTGGCCAGAAAATCGAACGATGAATGCCGAAGGACAGGTACGTACCTAGCCGCCCTCTTGCTTCACTTCTTCCCCATCCAGCCCGTGCCTACCTAGGTACCCAAAGTATCTTTAACAAACGGTTGCTAGGTACGTACCTAGGTAGGCAAGGGAGTCGGTCGCCTCTCTATTTCTCGTTACAAATCTCTCTGCCCTTGAGACAGAAATCCCGCCCACCAGCTAATCCCGCCAGCCAATCCCGTTTCTGCCGGCTGTCACCATCCGCTACGCTCTCCATCCCTCGCCCAATCCTCTCCGCCGGCCGCGGCTCAGCTACTGCAACTCAACTGCCAATCATCCTCGCCACACACCTCCCGTCACCCAACACTCACGCTCACTCACACACTCACTCACTCACTCACACACCCATAGCTTCCACAGCTTTCATTCCATTTTATTACGTATCCCACATCCCTCCCTCCCTCCCCCCGCGCGATACAGACGGCTCTGCGCTGCTCCGTCTCAATCCGCAGCAGACACCGCTCCTCTTCGCCAACTAGCATCCCCGCCCAAACGACCTGAGCCGAGTTGTCTTTGGCCTGATCCGGTCCCCGCTAACGCCCGTCCGCTCCGTGTGACAGATCCCGATCCGCCCGGGAAGGATTGCGAGCCACCTTGTTTGCACCCCCGACGCCCGCTTTCTTCCTTTCCCTGGCCCAGACCGTCGTCGTCCATCCTTTGATTCCGACAATCCGTATAACCTCACCCTTCCCACTCGGTCATGAGCACCATGACCGAAGCTGAGGCCCCTTCAATCCCGGCCTCCGGAGCCAAGAAGAGGTTCGCCACGCCTCCCGTGAAAATTGCCTGCCTTGCTTGGTAAGTCCCTCCCCCCCACCCTCTGTCGCCATCGATTGTTCAGGTTCGCCTTTCGTCTGTTGGCTGGTCAATTCTGCCGCCAGCTATAGCACTTTCCTTTTACCTGCACCCCGCTGGTGCTCTAGAGCTGCAACTCACACGTAGATAGCCGAGCATCACGAACTCGATGCGACGGATCAACCCCCTGCGCCAGTGTAAGTATACCCCCAGCGCAATACACCGCCGATCCAGAACCGGCCCAGAGCCGTAGCTGACGCGACGCAGTGCAAAAGCAGGGGGCGTGAATGCGTCTACAAGCCTAGTCGGAGAGGCGGCGCCCGCGTGAGAAGAAAGCCGCGGCCGTCTGAGGAACTGGCCCAGCAGGTCCGCGCCCTCAATGGCGAGATGCCACTCGACGAGGTTGCCCCTCAAAACTGTGAGTTACTCACTGCACTTGGCCGCCCAGTCGGACCAGTTCTTGACCGAGGCCGCAGCCATCTCTGTACAAAACTACATCGACCCCGGTGCGGGCTTGAAGCAGCTGCAGGATATCTTCCAGGATAGCGACTTCATCTTCGACACCCTCTTCTTGTCCGGCGTGCCCGGGAGCACCAGTGGCGAGAGTGCTTCTGAACATTCCTTCAACTTCCCAGCACCCCCAATTCCGGTTGCGAGAACATACAAGAACGACCAAGCCATGTAAGTACCCGCCGCCCACAGCGTCCTGGGCCGAATCGAGCGCTCATGGTCCGACAGCCTGGACGCCTACTACATCTTCATCCACCCCTTTTTCCCTATCCTGCCGCCCCCTGCTGGCTTGCCGATGGACCAGGCAGTGCCGCACTTTCAAAACGACACGGACAGCTTCGCCGATGACTATCAGCCGTCGACACCCCTCACCCTTGCCATCTCCGCCATTCTTGCACTGATCCCCTGTGCCAACGACACCAACCACCTCAGCAAGGAGTCCGTCGTCTTCCGGCGGAGATATGCCCAGTTCCTGGCCCAGTCTGCTGTCGAGAGTATCGAACTCGAGTCGGAAATCCCGGATTCCTCCGTCGAGCCGCCAAAGGCACTCAGTGAGTCCCCAGAGGACTTCAACAGGGAACAGTTCCACCCCGGTGTGCCGGTAGAGCTGGAGAGCATCATCGCTCTCGACATTCTCAGCGTCTACGAGTATGCGCAAAGGGGCAACCTGAAGAAGATGCAGGCTAGGGCGGGCCAAGCCCTAGTGTCCGCCATGTCCCTGTCCCTTCACACCTGCACCGAGGATTGCGACTTCTCCGAGGCCAAGCGCAGGGTTTGGTGGATGACGGTTTGTTTTATTTTTTCTCCTGCGCCCCGCCCGAAGGATAGCACCGCTGACGGCATCTACAGTACATATGCATCTGCCAGGGATCCATCGTTAGCAATACCGTATGCCTTCCTCCACTCAGCATCTATCGCGAAGCGTTGAGCTAACCCAAATCGAGGAGCCCACCTTCTCAGTATTCACGCCCAGCTACACAACCAAGTACCCCGTGATACAATCCGATCCCGAGGTGGGTGTTGGCTCCTAGTCTCCCGGGCCCAGAAACTGACCTTTGTCAAGGCCTTTGCCCTGTACATCCAAGCCCAGCAGGCGATTCTCTCGGCAACCCAGTTGGTCATCGATCTCAACAAGACGGTCAAATCCGGGGGCGATATGACGTCCATCTACGCGCGGATGAGAGAGATGGAGCAGTACCTCGAGCCCCTCAATGCGATGGCCGATTCTTGGATCCTGCAGTCGACTACGACGACGCCGCTCGATCCTACAGAAGAGGTCATGTCCCGCTCTTTGAGGTGCATGGCTCGCATCAAGCTTAACAGGCAAGCAAGCACCCGAACAGTTTTCCGGATTGGGGACGATTGCTGACCATGATCAGCGCGCGGATCAAGCTACACCGATACTGCGCCTTCTTTGACATGCCAGTCTTCTCTGGGAAGCACTGCGACCTCAAGTCCAAGTCCGACAAGGATGGCAGCGGGGAGCTGCGGTCTTGGCCGTCATGCTCCTGCAGCTCCATGATGAGCTTGCCGTCACCACCAGTACCCGCATCAAGCGGGTTGAGCACGCCGCCAGATAAGAATTCCCCTTACTCGGAACACTCGCCCAATGCGGCCTCGTCGGCTACGTTCCCTTTTAGCAGTCACCAGTCAGCCAAGATATGTCTCAAGGCGGCCATCAGCATTGCTCAGTCGTTTGACGACCTCCCGTATCCCAACCCGTTCGGCCAGCTCTGCCCTCCGCCGTGTTATCTGGCACCCACTTCGACGATTGTTTGCCCGAGGACCATGCCCTCCTTCGCTTGCTGCGCCATGCAGTGCGCCTACGCGCTGCTGATGGTCAACCACAAGACAAGGGCCATGTACCCGGAGAACGCATTGGCCACGCCGATGGTGGAGAGCCTCCTGATGCGCCTGCAGACGGGGCTGGCCTCCATCTCGGCAACGCTAGAGAACTACGCCACGGCGTTTGAGGCTCTTGGCGGGATGCGCGGTAAGTGGCCCCTCAGTCTCGCTCGGGACCCCACCCCGCTGTTCGATGTCTTGCATTGCTAACGCCGTGCCGCAGACCAAATTCGGAGTGTAATCGAGCCCACCATGATGTTTGACACGCCAATCTAGAGGTGGCCTCGCGCTTATCTCCGGTGTATATGCGGATTACCTGCAGGTCTCCCCCACCTTCTCCTGCAGTTTGTCTGCGGTTTGCCTGCAGTTCGTCTGCGGTTTGATTGTCTCGGCACGCCAACGGTATTCTGATGGGATTTGACCGCGGGCTTTGGGCGGGGTCCAGGGGGGGAACGAGCTTTGAAAGAGGGTTGCGGGGTTTGCTCATTCATGAGCAAAGGCCGGGAGATGGAAAAGCTCCGACATCCTCCGACCCCGAACGTGCCACCATCTATGCGCCGATCTGCGAGGGGGTATTAACGACTTTGAAACGATATGATGGAGCTGTCTTGAAAGGAGTTGAAAAGGGGGGGGGGGCATTTAAGGTGTCGGGTTTGCCATGATATAAACATGCACAAAGCAAGCTAAATCGGCAGTGTCTTGATATCTGGTACTGGGTCAGGAACCTGAAGCGCAGGCTATTAGAATACCACCACTCTCAAAACTATTTCCTGAACCCTTCAATATGCCTGTCTCCGGGTCTTTGAGCAACGTGGACTGGTGAGAGGATCCCGATCGGCTTTTGCATCACCACAAGCTGCTGACACGTCGATGCGTTACCCAGGGAACCGAGCTTCTCCACGGTCGCCGTTCACGGCGGCCAGGAGCCCGATCCCGTCAACGGCTCTCGTGCTGTCCCTCTCTACCAGACGGCCGCTTACAACTTCACCGACGCCGCCGGTCAGTCCTCCTCGTGCCAGCGACGCCCCCGCGCGCGCGCGCCACGCACATTTTGACACTTACCCCGCTCGTAGATGGCGCCAGCAAGTTCGCATGGAGCAAGGACGGGTACGTGTACACGCGCATGGGCAACCCGACCAACAGCGTCTTCGAGGCGCGCATGGCGATGCTCGAGGGCGGCGTCGGGGCCGTGGCGGCGGCGTCGGGCCACGCCGCGCAGTTCATGGCGCTGACGCAGTGCTGCGACCCCGGCCACAACTTCGTCAGCACCAGCTGGCTGTACGGCGGCACCTACAACCAGTTCCGGGTGTACATGAAGAAGTTCAAGATCGACGTCAAGTGGGTGGTGGGCAACGAGCCGGCCGACATCGACGCGGCCATCGACGAGAACACGCGGTGCGTGTACATCGAGACGATCAGCAACCCGAAGCACAGCGTGCCGGACATCCGGGCCATCGCCGACGTGGCGCACAAGCACGGGATCCCGCTCGTCGTCGACAACACGTTCGGCATGGGCGGGTACCTCTGCCAGCCCATCGGGCAGGGCGCCGACATCGTCACGCACTCGGCGACCAAGTGGATCGGCGGCCACGGCACGTCCATGGGCGGCGTCGTCGTCGACGGCGGCCGCTTCGACTGGGGCGCGTCGGGCAAGTTCCCCGGCTTCACGGAGCCGGCGGACGGGTACCACGGCCTGAGGTTCTGGGAGACGTACGGCCCCAAGGCGCTGTCGGCCAAGCTGCGGATGGACAGCATGCGCGACCTGGGGCCGTGCCTGAGCCCCTTCAACGCCTGGCTGCTCCTCCAGGGCCTGGAGACGCTCGCGCTGAGGGGGGAGAGGCACACGGAGAACGCGCAGAGGCTGGCCGAGTGGCTCGACGCGCACCCGAGCGTCAGCTGGGTGCTCTACCCCGGCCTCAAGTCGCACCCGGACTACGAGTACACCAAGAGGGTGTTCAAGAACGGCGCGGGCGGCGTGTTGACTTTTGGCGTCGTGAGTGCTGTTCCTTTTTCTTTTTTCCCTTTTTTTTTTCTTTTTTTTCTTTTTTTCAACGATGACGATGGGTCGTTGGCTGACACAAGGAAACCCTCCCTCCCTCCCCAAAAGGCCGGAAACATTGACCAGGTCCGCTCCGTCGTCGACAACCTCAAGCTCTGCTCGCACCTGGCCAACGTGGGCGACGCCAAGACGCTCATCATCCACCCGTGGGTGACGACGCACCAGCAGCTGCCGGACGAGGAGAAGGTCAAGGGCGGCGTGACGCCGGACCTGATCCGCGTGTCGGTGGGCATCGAGGGGTTCGAGGACATCCGGCGGGACTTTGAGCAGGCGTTCGAGGCGGCGGGGCTGCCGGCGGCGAGCAAGGCGGGCGGGGACCCGTTCGGCGCCGCGCTGCGGCTCGTCTCGGACGGGTTCATGGCGGGGAAGGCGACGGGGGCGCCGAGGCCCGGGACGGACGGGACTGTTTCTGAGCAGAGGGCGTGATGGGGAGCGGTGGTTGTTTGCTGGGGTGTGAAGATGTGTGAACGACGACGGACGGTGTGGGTTGTTGAGCAGACGGTATGAAAGTTTGATGTGGGCGAGCGAGCGTGGGGTGGATGGAGATGCCAATGAATACCTTGCAAAATAACAAGTGGCATATTGTTTTAGCCCGAGCCCGGAAGTGCGTCGTATGAGAGCCAGGACACATCTCCATGTGAAGCCAGTACACAGATGAATGAACGGCAGCGGCACACCGTACTAGAGGCTTGAAGAGCTGCTGCCCCCCCCCCCCCCCCCCCCCCCGCTTGGAGTTAATCACGGCATGAACCTACGGATGGTTTTGGTTTCCTGACTTGGGGGCTGTACAAGAGTGTTTGACAAGACCCAAAGCCCGCGTGTGTGCGGAACATTGACCCCTCTCGGCGCCTGCTGGCGGCTTGATGCTGCAAAGACGTCGTGGTGGTCGTCGTAGGTAGGGCGAAGGGAAGATGTAGCAAGCAGTTTGGTTCTCGCTGGGAGCTGTCGGCACTTGGCCAACTCGGTGATGGAAAAAGGAAAAAGGACTCCGTCACAAAACCCATCGGGACTCTCTGAAAAGTGGCATGACTGTCCTCACGACACGTCGGAAAGCCGCCCTTGCATTCGGGGGCGATCACGGAGGGGGGGGGAAGGAACCGCCGGCACCCAGCGGCCGAGCCCCACTTACCTCCGGGTGCTTTCCACGGCGGGTTCCGCGACCAGGTACGTACCTGGGTAGGGGTAGGGGTGTAGGTAGATACGTACCCCCCCCCCTTGGGACGGGTCGGGGTGGTGCGACTTTCTCTCGAGCAACACCATCAGCCCATCATCAGTCGGTTTCTCAGCCCTGTCGACCGCAGACACCACCACGCACCAGGAATCGGCTCACCCAACCACGGGCTCGACGCATGATGGTGATTATTATGCAGAAACCCATACTGGATCTCTGTCCGCAGGGTCCGAGGGGACTCTCGATTCAAATACCAAAGTGCTCCTACGAGACTGCGAACCGTTGAAGAGAAGAAGGCTGTTCAGATTATCGACCATCATTTACTAACAGAGAAGGACGGACCATCGGCCGTGTCAGGGTATAGCCGTCGTATATATCTTCGCGGCGATCTTACACCGAGCATTCAACTAGATTCGATATTTGGTTTTTCCCTTCTTTTTTTCCCTTTGGCCGACTCGGGCGGGAAAAGATCCCGTCATAGAAACAACCAAGCAAAATGGGTCTCGTGAGGCACATGAGCCACGTCGACCGTGAGGAGTTGTATACAGACCTCGAGGCGCGCATCCGCTACCTCCACAGCTTCCTCGACTTCAGCAGCAGTACGCCAGCTTCCCTCCTCCTTCTTCTGTCATCCGAGCGCAAAGAGAGAGAGAGAGAGAGAGGCTAACGAGAACCCTCCCAGAGGACATCGAGGCCCTCACATCGGGCGCGAAATACGTCAAGGCCCTGATCCCCGCCGTCGTCAACATCGTCTACCACAAGCTGCTGCAGTACGATATCACCGCCCGCGCCTTCGCCACCCGCTCCACCAGCTTCGAAGGCCCCATGGACGACGTCCCCAGCGACGACTCGCCCCAGATCCTGCACCGCAAGATGTTCCTCCGCGCCTACCTGGCCAAGCTGTGCTCCGACCCGAGCAGGATGGAGTTCTGGGAGTACCTCGACAAAGTCGGGTGCGTATAGCTCTTCTTCCCTGCCCCCTTGCTCCCCCCCGGCTGCACCGGCGTATGCTGCTTGTTGGGCGTTAAATATTATCATCATCATCATCATCATCATCACCGGCCTATGCTGCACTAGGCAAAATAAACAACGACTAACAAATGGGTGCAACAGTATGATGCACGTCGGCCTCGGCCGCCAGCACCCCCTGCACGTCGAGTACATCCACCTCGGCGCCTGCTTGTCCTTCATCCAGGACGTCATGACCGAGGCCGTCCTCTCGCACCCGCGGCTGGCCATGCAGCGCAAGATCGGCCTCGTCAAGGCCCTCGGCAAGGTCATCTGGATCCAGAACGACCTCATGGCCAAGTGGCACGTCCGCGACGGCGCCGAGTTCGCCGCCATCCTCGGCGACGGGCCCGAGATCGAGGAGGAGGGGTATCTGCACGGCCACAAGGTTCTCGAGAGCGAGCCGGGCGAGGAGAACGGGCACGACAGGGAGGGGCCCAGGTCGCCTTCGAAGTTGCCGCGGCCGAGCAGCGCCGACAGCGGGGTGTGTCCGTTCTCGGGGATCGCGGCCGGCGTGGATGCGCCGAACGTTGGCGGCGCCGAAGGTCGAGAGCGCCGCGTAGAGGCAACATGGGCGAAGTTATCTGGTTCTGCGGTATTCGAGGCATGAGTGAATGGCGTTTTTTGGGCGGTTATGGCATCGGCCCACTTGTGCGATTTTCGACGGTTTCGGTTTGGAACACGGATGTTTACAGATGGGAAAACAAGGGTGATGATCACTGGCGAAGAGAGAGAAACTTAAGAAAACATGTTTAAAAAAAGAAAAAAGGAAACTTGTTATTCAATCTCGATTATCACAATGTACACAGCTTTCGGACCAGACATCCACAAATCCATCCTCCGCGGATCAGAACCTCCCGTCAGAGAGGCGGCGCGCGCGTGCAGCAATCCATGTATGTTACCCTCCGCCGCCTTCCGGCCCTCGACGCCGTGTCCTCCCTCGTGTGACCAGTCACTACTGGATGCACACTTCCGGGGCCCATACATGTCCTCCAGAGTGGGCTGACTGATGGGTGCTTAGTAGTAGCCGCCGCCGCCGCCGCCGCTCTTAGCACCACCGCCAGGAGCACCGCCCTTGGGAGCACCACCAGCAGGAGCAGCGGCCTTGGGAGCGCCGCCGTAGGGAGCGCCACCAACTGGAGCAGCGGCCTTAGGAGCGCCGCCGTAGGGAGTACCGCCGACCGGAGCAGCAGCCTTGGGAGCACCGCCGTAGGGAGCGCCGCCGACCGGAGCAGCGGCCTTGGGAGCGCCGCCATAAGGAGTGCCGCCAACCGGAGCAGCGGCCTTGGGAGCGCCGCCATAAGGAGTGCCGCCAACCGGAGCAGCGGCCTTGGGAGCGCCGCCGTAGGGAGCGCCACCGACCGGAGCAGCGGCCTTGGGAGCGCCGCCATAAGGAGTGCCGCCAACCGGAGCAGCGGCCTTGGGAGCGCCGCCGTAGGGAGCGCCACCGACCGGAGCAGCGGCCTTGGGAGCGCCGCCATAAGGAGTGCCGCCAACCGGAGCAGCGGCCTTGGGAGCGCCGCCGTAGGGAGCGCCGCCGACCGGAGCAGCGGCCTTGGGAGCGCCGCCGACAGGAGCAGCGGCCTTGGGAGCGCCGCCGTAGGGAGCGCCGCCGACCGGAGCAGCGGCCTTGGGAGCACCACCAGCAGGAGCAGCGGCCTTGGGAGCGCCGCCGTAGGGAGCGCCACCAACTGGAGCAGCGGCCTTAGGAGCGCCGCCATAAGGAGTGCCGCCAACCGGAGCAGCGGCCTTGGGAGCACCGCCGTAGGGAGTACCGCCAACCGGAGCAGCGGCCTTGGGAGCGCCGCCGTAGGGAGTGCCAACAACCGGGGCCTTGGGAGCACCACCGTAGGGAGCGCCGCCGACCGGAGCAGCGGCCTTGGGAGCGCCGTAGGGAGTGCCAACAACCGGGGCCTTGGGAGCACCACCGTAGGGAGCGCCGCCGACCGGAGCAGCGGCCTTGGGAGCGCCGTAGGGAGTGCCAACAACCGGGGCCTTGGGAGCGCCGCCATAAGGAGTGCCACCAACTGGAGCAGCGGCCTTAGGAGCGCCGCCATAAGGAGTGCCACCAACCGGGGCAGCGGCCTTGGGAGCGCCGTAGGGAGTGCCAACAACCGGGGCCTTGGGAGCGCCGCCATAAGGAGTGCCACCAACCGGGGCAGCGGCCTTGGGAGCGCCGTAGGGAGTGCCAACAACCGGGGCCTTGGGAGCGCCGCCATAAGGAGTGCCACCAACCGGAGCAGCGGCCTTGGGCTGTGTGGAGGAGTACGGAGTGTCACCCTTGGGTTTGGCACCACCGCTGCTGGGAGCAACACCCTTGGGGGTATCGGGCTTGGGGCTGCCACCGTTTGGCGCATTGTACGATGGCACATAGGGAGTGTTGGCCTTCGGGCTGGCAGCACCGCCGCCGGAGGGAGCGTTGTATGTGGGCACATACGGAGTGTTAGGGCTTGGGGAGGTGATGGCAACGGGGGTAGGAGCCGGAGTATTCTCGCTCTGGGTAGTAGCAACGGGGCTGACTGCGGACGTAGTGGCCTCGGTCTGAATGTCGGTAACAGGGGTAGGCACCGGAGTATTCTCGCTCTGGGTGGTGGCAACGGGGCTAGGAACCGGAGTATCCTCGCTCTGGGTAGTGGCAACGGGGCTAACTGCGGACGTAGCCTCCTTGTTCTGAGGGACGGTATTAACCGGGCTGGGCACGTATGGCGTATTCTCGCTCTGGGTAGTGGCAACAGGGCTCACTGCGGACGTAGCCTGCTCGTTCTGAGGGACGGTATTAACCGGGCTGGGGCTCTGGGAGGTAGTATCAACAGGGCTGACTGCGGACGTAGCCTGCTCGTTCTGAGGGACGGTATTAACCGGGCTGGGGCTCTGGGAGGTAGTATCAACAGGGCTGACTGCGGACGTAGCCTGCTCGTTCTGAGGGACGGTATTAACCGGGCTGGGGCTCTGGGAGGTAGTAGCAACAGGGCTGACTGCGGACGTAGCCTCCTCGTTCTGAGGGACGGTATTAATCGGGCTGGGCACGTATGGAGTATTCTCGCTCTGGGTAGTGGCAACAGGGCTGACTGCGGACGTAGCCTGCTCGTTCTGAGGGACGGTATTAACCGGGCTGGGGCTCTGGGAGGTAGTAGTAACAGGGCTGACTGCGGACGTAGCCTCCTCGTTCTGAGAGGTGACGGCAACAGGGCTAGGAACTGGAGTATCCTCGCTCTGGGTGGTGGCAACGGGGCTGACTGCGGATGTAGCCTCCTCGTTCTGAGAGGTGACGACAACAGGGCTAGGAACCGGAGTATTCTCGCTCTGGGGGGTGGCAACGGGGCTCACCGCGGGCGTAGTAGCCTCGCTCTCGGATGTGGTATCAGCCGGGCTGGGCCCGTACGAACCATACTCATAGCTGTCATAGTCGGGCCATTCGGCCGGGGTGTAACCGCCCCGGGCTTTGTAGTACCCGCCTCCTGCACCGCCACTAGGACCAGAAGCACCGCCGCTGGGACCAGAGGCACCGCCGCCAGGACCAGAGGGACCGCCGCCAGGACCAGAGGGACCGCCGCCAGGACCAGAGGGACCGCCGCCGGGGCCAGAGGGACCACCGCCGGGGCCAGAAGGACCACCGCTGGGACCAGATGGGCCGCCACCAGGGCTGCAAGAACCGCCGCCGGGACCGGAGGGACCACCGCCTGGACCAGACGGGCCGCCACCAGGACCAGAAGGACCACCACCGGGGCCGGAGGGACCACCGCCTGGACCAGACGGGCCGCCACCAGGACCAGAGGGACCGCCACCGGGGCCAGAGGGACCACCGCTGGGACCAGAGGGACCACCACCACCACCACCGTAGCCGTAGCCGTAGTCTCTACGATAATAGGAGCTGGATGCGCCACTGGGACCAGACGGGCCGCCTCCAGGACCAGACGGGCCGCCTCCAGGACCAGAAGGGCCGCCTCCAGGGCTGCAAGAACCGCCGCCAGGACCGGAGGGACCACCGCCGGGGCCGGACGGGCCGCCACCGGGGCCAGACGGACCACCACTGGGGCCGGACGGGCCACCGCCGGGACCAGACGGACCACCACCGGCGCCGGAGGGACCACCACCACCGCCACCGTAGCCGTAGCCGTAATCTCTGCGATGAACGGACCTGAGTGTGCGCTTATTGCCGGAGTAGGAATCGCCGCTCTTAGGGCTGCCAGAGCCGTTCAAATCGAGGGTGACGACGTCGCCGATCATGTCGGAGATGAGGCTATCGTTGTTTTGTTCGTCCTGCCGGGACTGGACCCCGGCATTCTTCATGCTGGGGTAGCCGAGAACGGGGGCGGCCACGAGGGCGGCAGTAAGGATGGAAGCGCGCATGATGCAGACGAGGCCAGCGAAGTTGGGGAAAGAATGTAAGGGGGGTAGTAGTGAACAAGCGAAGGTGTGTGTAGGCGAAAAGCTCTAGACCAGAGAGATTGGAACGAACGACTGCGTTGGAAACAGAACGAGCGTGGAAGGGAAGAGGATGGAGCGAATGTGTCCTGATGAATCCAAATCAACAGAGACGAGGGGAATCGCGGGCTCATTATATGTGCGGCAACGATGCAGAATCGTCTCGAGGCTCTGCCGCGCCAAAGTTGACTCTAGACTCTACGTAGAGCCAACCGGTCCGTCGCTTTGAAGCCAAACTTGAAGCAGACTGTGGAGATTGAGATAGTGTCTTCCCGTCCATTGGCGCTTGGGGTACGTGCCCGGTATGCCTGCCGTGTTGTTCAGGTTGTGTAAACGTCATTTCACTCTCTCTCTCACTCCTTTTCCTCGACTACTCGATTCCCAAGAATCCGGACAGGGCGCTGGCCTCGCGTCCTCGCCCCGGGTATCGGAAGCGTTACTTGCCCCGGCCTGCCTCAAATCAAAGCTTTTGAGATTAAAGCGAGCTAGTGGCTGACTGCTACTGTAGTGGTGTGGTGAAGGAGGCGTGGTGGAGAGTAGATTAAGGGGGTTATACTAACCTGGACGGGTAGGAAGACGCTACCAGTTTGCTAGTCCCGACGACTGTTTCCTCTTGCTCCTCCCGTTGTTCTCTCCTATATACCTGGCTCTTTGGGAGGGAGGGTCGCTGTCATGATTGTTTGCAGATGAAGCCATTAGTCTCGGAATCGAGAAATGCGGTGCTCGAGGCCTGTAATATCTGCCATGCTGCTTCGCTAACAATGCAACTAGCGAAGTAGAGGACCGACTGAATGTCCAGACCGTGTGGGTGCAGGATTGACAGATCTCATGCTACAGCTTCTGAACAGCTTTCGAGTCGACATCACGCCGAATCCGGGCTTCTGGGGAACCAACGAGGCCGTGCCTCGCGATGGCATCCGATACAGGAAAGGGGGTGAGAGAGTGAGTGAGAGAGAGAGAGAGAGAGAGAGAGAGAGAGAGAGAGAGAGACGTGCGCTTTCGTTAGGACTAAGGGGTCGCCGGGACACCACAGAAGCGGTCGAGCTTGTTGGCGCCGCAACATCCCTAACTAAACAAGCTTTTGTGGCTAATCCGATGAGTATCATCAGGAACATGGCATTGTCTTCTTCCTTCGACG